AAAATAATCCGTAAACTTAGTGTACTATGAACCCTTGCATATATGCCAATCCTAGTATTACAGAACTGATTTACGTAAAAAATAAGGTGTACAAATAGGTAAAATTTATTTATCCCTCGTAAAACCAGTAAAATATATTATAAATTGTTTTCATTCACAAATATTAATTTCTTAAAAATCTAACAGAGGCGCCACTTCCCAGACGAAAAATCTTGCAATGTAAGGGTTTCGTAGTACCCCCACTTTTAAAGTTTATTTTTGACTATTTTTAAAAGAAAAAAATATGTACGTGTAGGTAAAGGTTAAATCTATGCTCCTCTGGAACCACTTTTTCAAAATTCAATTTAGTTTTTTCTAAAAAAAATTGAGAAAATGGGTAAAAAAAGTCGAGTTTTGTATTTTGTTTTATAAAAAACTAAATCAAATTTTGAAAAAGTGTCTCCAGAGGAGCACAGATTTAACCTTTACCTATGCGTACATATTTTTTTCTTTCAGAAAAAGTCAAAAATAAACTTTAAAAGTGGGGTACTACGAAACCCTTGCATGCTCCGCGCTACAGCCAAGTAAATACTCCTCTTAACAATATTCTATTTCAACATTTTACTGTAGTCTCTTACAGAAAAGTCCGTAGTAAATAATAGCTAACGAAATATTCTATAAAAGGTCTTCTCTTTACATAAAATGTCGTGGCATCTGTTTGATATTAAAAAATCACGTTAAATTTATTTCATAATACAAAATTCCATCGAACGTATAAATCTAATAGTTCATTATGATGCTAATAAACAAAGTCCGGTCCCTGTCACAGAGCTCGGCTCTCTGTCCAGTTCCCCCACTCCGTTAACCTTTCTTTAGAAATTGGCAACATTTGCGCAGGTTAAACACTGGTGTATGTTATATCTCTGGTCTCTTTTATCTAAGTCCAGTCTTCATTATGGTTTAATATTTGTTTACATTAATAAAGCATTTGGGACACAGTAAAAAGTTATGAGAGCTTTATATATAATGTATCACCTTCACTTTTTGAAAAATCTGACTTTCTAGGTCTACCATGCTTTTTTATCTACCATTTAATAATGTACATTCAAGAAAATTAACATAATTTTAATAAAAACGAAATCATACATTCATACAACACTAGACAAAAAACTGACATACATCAACCTTTCTCACCCTTACAAATAACCCAACATTCACATAAGTATATTGGATTTAAATGCTTCAATAAATTCAGCAGCATATTAGGTAAAAATAAAAATTTCAAAACATAAAATAAAACATTTTAATAATAAATTAAAATTATTTTTAACAAAAAAAAATATTTTATAGTGTGGAGGAATTCCTTATTTTTAATTTTTAATTGTTAATGCCTATACGTGTACTGTGAAAGTGTAAGTTTGTCATATGTATTGCAATTCATTTAAATTATATTTATATTATTTTAATTTTACTAGTATTTTAGTATTGCAAAATTGTTTTTGTTTTCTATATATACTACTCATGACAATAAAATTATATTCTATTCTGCAGTTATAAAATTGTGAAAAACTAGATAAGAAATGTGTGGGTCCATTATCACTGGTTATCATGTATGGTGTTTTTCAGACTTAAAACTTTTAAAAACCCAAACTTTGAAGTTTACATTATGAAGTGAACTATCAAATAATGATAATGGCTTTAATTTTAAAGTCTAGATACCAATGGTCACGCCTGTCTTTGGTTTTTAGATATAGAAACACTCAAATAAAAATGGACTGTTGACAAAGCATTAAAAGATTGTTTTGATTTTAACAACAATGGGGTGGGACATTGTTTTCAAAATCAAAATGAGTTTTTAATGCTTTGACAACAGTGTCAATAACAGACCCACTGATCAACTGTTGGCACTGAACTACTAATGTCTATATATTGACCTATGTAAATAATTTTAAACTTACCATAAAATGGCAGAGGCATATGTCAATGATTTTCAAAACTTAATAAGCCCTTAATAAATAGGTATTTAAAAATATGTATTAAAGTAAGGTCCAAATTTTATAATATGTTCATGTATTTCAAAAACACTTTATAATTTCCCCCACCTTTATTACATTTTGGAAAATGAAAAAGTCCGTATTTCTTGGTTTTTGAAAAGTTTCTAAAAGCCGAATTTTCACTTTTCAGTTATAGAAATAATGAAATACCCAAAAAAAGTTTTTCCTTATAAAATGAATTTCTATTTACCAATTTTCACATTTGTATCTTTTAACATTTTTAATTGTTCCCAATTACTCTGTTAGATAATCCTGTAAGTGTTAAAACTTGGTTTTATTTAAATACAATAATTACTTACCTTTTTAAATTAATAAAAACCATAATTACTTTATTTCTATTGACATAGTAACATTATGTATGTATGTTGTTAATTTAAAAACAGGTATAATGTAAAAAAAATCCCCTGACGCCATTGACAGTTTTGGTGGTGCATCCTGTCAAATATATCCAAGTAGTCCAAAACAAAGTTAAGTATTTTTCTTTAAATATATGAAAATGACCGATTGGGTATGGTCAATCACTAAAGAACCCTAGTGGCCAAACAGTCACTTTAGAGGTCACCAACCTGATGATAAAAATCCAAAACAAGACTTTTGGTAAAAATGTATTGTGCAAATTTTGAAGAAGAAATCTCACAATTGTCTAACTTCATGCTGTTTATGGATAAAAGTAATCCTTCTACAGTGAACAAAAATTATATTGAAAAAATAATTTTTTTATGTTTTGTTCTGAATTTGCGTTTTTGAGATATTATTGTATTTAGTAAATATTATGGTAAGAGTCATTAAGCTTTAAACTGAAAGTTTGGTCATGCAGCTTAGTTTGTGGTGCCTGGGTTGTCATATGAGATACACAAATCCTGCCTGACTCCTACAATGGCAAAGTAGGAATGTTTCTTGCAATGCCATAGCATAGCATACCAGCATGTGAGTGTTCATATATGACTGCCATGATAGTCAACTTGTTTATTGTTTTTGAGATTATCAATAAAAGCGATTTGTTATTATTTTATAATAAAAGAAACCCATTTAAATGTTCAAGTTGATGTGTCAAAATTTTTCTTTGTAATATAGTTCATTAGTGATGATGTAAAAAATTAGCAGAACAAAGTTGTTTATAGAACAAATATCTAGTTTTTGAACTAATATTATTTCATTTAAGTTGTTATATACTGGATGACCAGTCGAAAACGTACCAGATTATCAGGAGGTTTGTTTTGGTTCACGTTCTAGAATTGTTCCAGAACCATGAACAGAACTATTGTGCAATGGTCCTTAATTCTGAACAGTTCTGTAACCATTCCATTTGTACTCAAAACCCAAACACCGCCAGAACAGTTAAATGTCAAAAATTTAATTATAAATAAAAAGAAATAACACAGGGTCAATGTCTAATTAAGAAAGAGGCTATAATATATTGTAAAACGTAGATAAATTAATTTATTCATAAAAAAACTTATGACCCAACATCAACTAATCAACTGCTCCATTCTCATTTGTCATTCGAAAATTCCTTGAAAAATTCCAAAACAAAACATGTCCAGGATCCCAAAAACAAAACTACTTGCAAAAAAGTGCAAGCGCAAACACGTCAATTCTGAAACAGTTCTCGCTTTGGAGCAGAACCGAAGTTACTGTTAGATAATGGTTATGGAACCATTCCCAATAAAAACCAAAACACAACTTACAGGTACGGAACTAGTTCTGGCGAAACCAAAACAACGAATATCTACTGCGCATGCTCCAAAGGTTGTGGAAGTGTTCTGGAACAGTTACGAAAGTGAACCAAAACAAAGCTATTTACTGCATCAACTTATTCGTACCTGTCATATGTCACTCTACTCCCCTCCATTGTTATGTTATGCATTGAATTAATAAATTTAGTTTTAAAAAGAAGTTGTACACTTTGCAATACGTAACAGTTTTTTTTTACTGCTAGAGGGCGCTAAAATCAAAAGTAACGCAATATTGCTGAATTCTCCATAAAACGACCTTTTCAATGATGTATCATACTTGGTAGTTTGCCTATTTAGGGTGAGATTACAGAACGTCTGAAACTTTGCAGATCTGCAAATATGGCGGCAACTTTGAAAATCTGCAAATATGACTGACTTACCCATGCAAGTATCAAGTTTTCTTATTTCAAATTTGGGTTTAGTGTTGTTGGGGGTAATAAACCACAATAAATATTGCGAATTTGCAGATATTTTTTGGAATACTTACATTTGTAAGTCCGCCATATTTGCAAAGTTGCAGACGTTCTGTAATCTCACCCTTAATATGTATTGGTTAGAGTGACAGAGGGGAGGGGACAGATGTCCCCTTTTAATCACTAATTGACTTGTCCTAATGTTGATGCAGTTCCTGATAATGACTCTGGACACCCCACCGGCGGATCCAAGGGGTGGGGGACAATGTGGCAATGTTCTTCCTCCTAATAACCCTTGTCATTACCACACAATAAAATTTAAAAAATCGACCCAAACTACGAACCCAGAAAATTACCCTTTCCTCATTGGAACAGCTTTTGAATCAGCACCTGGGCACAGTTTAAAGCTAAAGAATCAGTTCGCTCACTCTGCGTCGGCGCTTTTGATCTCAATGTTCCAGTTTATACCCTGCGCAATTCGGATTTGTATCCTTGGCGCATACAGAATCAAATCATAACCAATACAATATCTGACAACCGCCTGTATTCAAACAGCAGTCTTCTGCGCATCCTGAATTTGTATCCTTTGAGTGGATGTTCTTTTGGAACATCCAACTGGTCCGAGTAAGCTAACTGATTCTTTTTGGCAATAAACTGTGACCTGGGTATATTAGAAAACTATCAAAATCAATGTTTGGCTCACTGACTATTAGTGTATTACATTTTGCTTTGTATAACGTAACTTACTGTTTTTTAATAAATATTGTATTTTTATTTACTTATACCCTAATAAATAAATATTATGTATGCATTTTTAGAAAACTATGTGTCTACAGAAGACAAAATTACAAATTGGCACAAAAAGGTTCGTTTACGGATAAACAAGACGTTTGGAATCGAATGTGAAACTAGTCTAGAACATTTAATGAAATGGTACATTGAGTGAGTAGATTTTTTTTGAAGATAATTTTATTAAACTTTCAATCGGTTACGAGTATGAAATTTTTCTTTTTGTCTTTTCAGAATCCTGAACCAAGAAATTTTAAACATAGACGTCAATCGGCAATTTATTTTGATAATGGACAAACACATGTATTGCTTTTACAGCTATTTCAAGTCATTAAATTGGATCTCGACGGAAGGTTACTTGGATTTAATGGAGGACATTTTGGCGTTTTATCTCGATTGCGAAGGGAAAATTTTTGTCAGAGAGACGGGTAGACAGAAGAGAAATAAAAAGCAAATGCGCAAAAAACTTTTGCCATTGTTGAGGATATATTTGTTGGGGCAGGAAGAGAGAATCCATCATGTGTTGATGAAAATGAGACTAAATGTGTGCACAGAGGAAGCTAAGAGTTTTCTTGATAATATATTTAGGTACAAGTCATTTATTTTCCAATCATTTAGAATGAGCATGTGGCTTATGAGGCCCATTGATTTATTTACTTTTTACTATTATTCTATGAGAAAAAGAAGCGAATGTTAAAGAGCCGAGTTTAAAATCAACGATAATAAAATAACAAGTCATGATTAATATTTCGGAAATCATTTTCATTTTCAAAACTGTTTAACAATAACCGATGATTATGCAACCAGATTCTCAGTTTAAACTAAGATTACATTTTAACTGCCTATTGTACAACCCACCCTTAGGGGTATGCCATTGTTACTAAGCTAAATGGCCACATATCCTTATATGCTACAAGAAATTCAAAAGTGATATTCAAAAACAAGTAATCGAGTGGTATCTATTTGACTCTAGGAAACGTTAAAAAAATTTTTAGTTTTAAAAAAGTTTTTTTTTTCCTTTCTTTTTTCCTTCCTTTTTCTTTTTTTTTTCTTCCTTTTTCTCTTTTCCTTTTCATTTTTTTTATTTGCCCAGCTTTTTCAATTTTTCTTCGGTTTATTTTCACTTTGGCATTGTGGGAATGGATTCCTTAATTTCGTGGAGGACATTGGTGGTCTTCATTTTCAGTTTTTCAAATGCATACTTTAGTTTTAGATCTTTAACCTATGTATTTTCTCCTTATCAACATACCAACTGACAGATGGAAAACCTGTATAAAGCAAGAAATTATTTTCAAAGGCTCTGTTATGGTCAAAAAGTGAATGGTTCCAAAGCACATGCTCTAAATTATTTTCATTTAAAGTTATGTTAAAGATATTAAAATAGGTTTTAAAATTTGTTTTCTTTTATATGAAAAGTCTAAAAATGAAAATCCGCTATGTTGCTATATTGGGAATCGCATACCCCTTTTTTTTATTTAAAAATTTGTGGGGAGGGTGATCTGAGAGGTAAAGTTACTCTGTAAAAAAAAATTATGCAAATTTAAAAATCGACATTTTTTTTTTTTAATATTAAATAGATCAAAAATGAATTTATCTGTCACTTTAAGACCTCACTATATATATAATTTTATTTAGGGTCGTTTTTTCTCAAAAACCCATCGACAAATCAGACGCTGCGTTTTGTCGCGCTTTCATCCTGAACCAAAAATGGAAGCGCATACAGCAACCGGACATTTGGAAAGTGCTGGATGAAATGCTGGAAACCATGTACGATCGAACTCTAGATTCCATACACTCGAACAGCATATGGAAGCAGATACCGTCCAAGAATGATTCGCTGCTGGACGTGATGGCCCATATCGGCGACAGCGATCGAGCATTGTGCGATGGTTATTTCAAATACATGAAGGCTCAGAATGCCGAAGAAAACATCGACGCCGCGTACTTTACCAAAATTGACAGCTCGTCTAAATCTGTAAGTCTAATATCCCCTATATAAAGGTTTTCCAATATTTTGAATGGATTGTGATCTGGGCTTTGAGTTTACACCCCAAATCTATCTCAATTTATGTCATAGTTCATTGTGTAAATGAGGAATCTTGATTTCTTAGCTGGGTTGTTTATATTTCAGGAATTAGATCTCATAATCGATTCCAGCGATACTGAAAGTAGTGAATTCTACAAATTAATTGAGAGTTGTCCAAAAATAACGGAAGCTGATGAAGAAGATTGCATTGTGAAAGAGGAAGTCGACAGCGATGATGATTGCATAATAATAACCGACCAAACGCTAGAGATAGATCCTCAAAAAGTAGTTTATGAAATTTTGGATGACAAAGACGACGACATCATTGAATTTGCCGATTTGCAATTGAAAGAGGTAAATCGCTTTTTATTTTATCGAATCTATAGAAGAAGAAAAAAGTGGAAACAAACATTATTTCAATTTTCATAACTGATTTTCAGCCACGCGTCAGCCTTTCGAATTCATGCGCACGTAGAGCGAAAAAAGGCGAAGAAATGTCATTTTTGGACTCTATCGAAATCACCACAAATCCCAAAGCGACAGCAGGAGAAAAACCGGCCCTACAAACGGACTCAGTGTCGTCGCCGTTGACCAAATTACAGAATTCCGATAATGATTCCGTCAAATCACGAGAAATATTATCTAGAAAATTCACCAGGAAAAAAGAGGCTGCTCCGATAATCAAAACCACCAAGTCTAATTACGATGCCATAGAATTGCCGGATTATTCTATGAGGCTCGTCGGAGCAGCTCGAGGTATGATATCGAGGTCAGAAGATGATCGGGCCAAAATGTATATGCCTCATTCCACCATTTCCAGTAACAATTCTCCCAAGTCAACGGAATCTACCGAAACGAGACCCAGCGAATCGTACGTCTCCCCAACTTCCCCGGATATATCCAGTACTTGCGATCCCAATGCAGCACCCGAGGACGAATCTGATCTAAGTGACGATAACCATCACATTGAACCTGAAAAAGATGAAACCTGCGACAGTGTTGAAGCTGAACCTGTCATAGATCAACGAATAGAAGTTGAAGAAAAACAAATTGAGGCTGAATCGATTTCAGAACAACAGATTGAAGCTGAACCGATTTCAAAACAACAGATTGAAGCTGAACCGATTGCGGATGAACGGATTGAAGCTGAATCGATTGCCGATGAACGGATTGAAGCTGAACCTATTGTTGATCAACTGATCAAAACTGAACCAGTTTTGAATAATAATAGTCACACTTACAATATACCCACTGTAAATGATAACATCCATAATAACGAGTCCTACATGAAGAACGTTCCTTGTCCATTACCTCCTTGTGCCAGTTTGACGTATTTACCGCTCATTCTTTCTCCACTAAGTAGGACGACGACGACTTTTGATGTGAACATGGTTAACTCTCGACAACGACAGCCACAAGAACCGGTTTTGCATCAAGAAACGCAAGCGGAACCATGCGAGGTTCGACAAAATGAATCTTTGCCGGTGGTCGAGGAGCAAATCGAAGCTAAACCATGCGCAGTTCGACGAAATGAATCTGAGCAGGTCATCGAGGAGCAAATCGTAGCTGAACCGTGCGCAGGTCAACCAATCGAACCTGAGCTGTTATTTAAGGAAAGCATCGAAGCTGAACCGTGCACGGACCGACGAGTCGAAGCTGATCCGATTGTCGATGAAAGTATCGAAGATGAACTATTTACTGACGACCATAATTCAGCTGAATCTGTGACAGAAGATCGGAACGAAATTGAACTATTTGCAGATTCAGATGACCACATTGAAGCTGAACCATGTATGGTCAATCAGAATGAAACTCAGACATTTGTGGATGATTGGAATGAAGCTGAAACTGATGTGGATAATCGAAACGAAGCTGAATCAGTTGCTAATGAGTGTGACGAATACAAACCGACTGATACTGATAATGAAATAGAATCTTTGCTGAATCCGTTGGCTGTAGTCGAGGCTAAGAATGATATAATCAGTCGGAAGAAGCCAGAATATTTCTTGGATCCGTTGGCTGTGGTCGAGGCTAAGAAGGAGATAATCAATCGAAAGAAGCCAAAATCTACGTTGGATCCATTGGCTGCGGTAACGGCTAAGAAAGATATAATCAGTCCAAAGAAGCTGGTGAAATTGAACGGTAGAAATGGGGAAACGAGCGATATTTGGAGCGTCAAATCTAGCGGTGATATTTTTACTAGAATCGACGAGAAGCAGTTGTCCAAGAAAAATGGGACAAATAACAAAGCGGAAGTTGCTAAAAATAAAATGGAGGTGATCTTTACGCACAAGGTTAAAAGATCGAATAATGAAGTGCATTTGAGGTAAGTTTTTCTTTTATAATGCCAAATAAGTCAAATATTTTCGCTCTTCAGATCTATTGTAATTTTAATCCAATCAATTTCTTTCTATATAATTTGATCAGTATTTTTTTGTTAGAGCCACTTTACAGTTCGTAATTCTTCTAAGAGAATTTGCTGGCTGTATTATACTTTGCAATTCATTGCAAAACATTCACCAAATTAACTCGACAAACAGGTACATCAACTTCCAACTTATGGTCAATGACTATAGTCCATTTAAAATGACGGTAAAAGGTTGAGAAACGCCGCACTTGACTAGACCACTTGTCCCCTACGTATTTTGGGGTGCTGATTACGAAAATGAGGGTTAAAACTGGCAGCAATAGTTGGAACACCCCTAAAATTGCAAAAAACACCCCTAAATAGGGGCGTTTTTTGGCTGTACTTGTTTTGCAAACTAAGCCACCCAAAAAACATATAAGATGACTTAGTTCGCGAAACACCGTGGGAGGGGTGTTTCTGGCATGTGGGGGGTGTTACACAAATTTTCCAGTCTCGACACCCCGATTTTCGAAATCAGCGACCCAAAAAACATATGAAATGAGTTTGCAAAACAACAAGTACAGTCGAAAAACACCCCTACCTAGGGGTGTTTTTTTGCAATTTTAGGAGTGGTTCAACCATGGCTGCAAGTTTTAACCCCGATTTTCGTAATCAACGCCCCAAAAAACATATAAGATGGCTTAGTTTGCAAAACAACAAGTACAGTCGAAAAACACCCCTATGTAGGGGTGTTTTTTTTGCAATTTTAGGGGTGTTCCAACCATTGCTGCAGTTTTAACCCTCATTTTCGCAATCAGCGCCCCAAAATACGTAGGGGACAAGTGGTCCCGTCATGTGCGACGTTTCTCGACCTTTTACCTTTATTTTAAATGGACTACTATATGTACTAGTAGAGGACAGCCGAGTTCCCCACTTTCAGATGCAGATATTTTTGTTTAAGTTTATTCTCTCAAAAACTGTCTAAAACAAAACAAATAATTCGATGTTTTTATAAGTTAGTACTCATGGATACTTGGATACCGTATCAACTACATGGTAAAATGTGGTTTCTTATGAAACTAATCCAACCTTCTAGTATGTATATAGTCCTTGAGTTATGATAACACGTTGGCCAATATATCACGTAAATTATGAAAAACATGCCATAATTAAAACACATCATTTATAATTTTTTCTTTCTTCCACATTCCAGTGAGTTAGATTAGTAAAGGTATTGCAAGAGAATGGTCTCATTCCTTATGTAAATTAACATAATAAATCGCCAAGGTTTAAAATAGAGAAAATCGAGAGGTTCAAGATCACGAGTCGAGGATTAAAGTCAGGCTTAATCTCCGCTAATGGTCCGATTTGCATAGGACAAAAGACACCATGAAATAGACGTGACATAGATTAATGATGAAAGAAATATCATGCGCAGTGATAACCATTTTTTCTTCTTTCATATGTTGAAGAAAATGCTTGATAAAGTTTTTTCGAGAATAATGATTTATCTATTTAAAAAACGACTACACCATAGAAATATCCAGCTGTTTTTTACTTTTAAACCTTATTGATATTATATATAAGACTGAAATTATTGAAATTGGGAATCAGAGCAGAATCCTGCCCACACATATCTAGCTTTACTTTCAGTGATAAGTGTTATGTGGGCTTTATTGTATGTATAAATACTGCTGTTTCTGTAAAAGAATAATTAAATTATTTCACTTCACACACTGCTGACAAAACAACAAAATGCTTGCTTTAAAGTAACAATATGAATATTATATATAATTTTCCGGTCATGACATTGTATTTTTAGTGCCTCGACGCTATTGATAAGATTAATAATCACACAATGTTTTATTTTTTGAATTTGAGATTATCTTCTTTTTTTTATTCGTTATCTATTGACAGCTTTGAATATTTGTTTGGAATTCTTTTTCGCCGTCTGTGTGTCTATAAATTCTCTGAGTTTCTATGAACTTTTATGAATTTATCTGTCCGTCTATCTGTCTGCGGGCAATGCTTGAATGTTGTTTTACTCATGCGAATCGACTCAATAATATCGGATATATAAGGTTAGGCCTTTCTGACTTTGCACTTAGTCTCCGAATACTATGCCATGTCCTTTTTTATTTAATACATTTGTTATCTATGGCATCTCGACGTTGTCTAACCATTCCTCGGATTTATTGATAAGCCTGGACTCATGACCTTGAACCTCTCGATTTTCGCTATTTTGAACTTTTGTGATTTCCCATGATAATTAACTTGAGGAATGAGGCCGTTCTCTTTACTTAGTTTTCATAACATAACACAAAAAACATGTTAAATGCTAGAAATGTGATTTTTAAACTGGTTGGCAGCGCTTATTTTCGCCATTTTTTTCCCAGAATTGCAGCTGCATTTTCAGTCCGTCGCTATTTTCTGCAATTGCAAGAAAAATTGCAACAGAGGATTGAAAGGATGTTGGTGCATAGACATGCAATACAAATTACCGCAATTTTACTTGCAGGCAAGGAAAATTGCAAAGTGTAAAGTGGCTCTTAGGAAATTACATAAATAAAAAAATGTACAATAAAATTAAGAAATAAACTTAAAAATTATCATCCTAAACAGTATTTACAGTTTTTGTTTTTCCCACTCGTTAAATGGTTATTACTGTTAGATGGTGTCTTAAAAAAATTAATAAAAATAAAACTAATTAAAATTTTTGTCTCAGGTACGACGACTTGAAAGACAACCACGGTCTCGACGACTCTCTGGTTGGTGATAAGAGCAATATATCAAGAAACGTAACCGTGAATGGCGTATCCGATTTTGATCTGTTCGCTGATCCCTTGCTATCGTCCCTTGAATACCAAACCACTTCCGCAGAATCACCTCAACGAGTCGTCACACCTGCCTCTACTAGCAGCCCCTCGGATCTTAAATCTCCCGAATACGATGGCATCGATGATTTCAAAAACTACTACCTGGCCAATTATCAGCAGGATTGCAGCCAAAGCGCTTCTGCCAAGAGCAAAGGAGAGAACTCCGTGATCATAGAGAAGAGCGATCAAAATAAGAATCTTTTGGCAACTCAAACTGCAACTCCAATCACTACCACCACCACGACGAAATCGCTCAAAAGGAAGAGGATAACATTCGCCAAGGAAAATACAGTTTACACCATTGATACCTTAGCACCGCCGATGGCCAATGTGAAATCTATCGATTTGGAAGTGTCCAAGAAACCCGCCGAGAGATGTCTGAGGATCCTCATCAGCAAAATGAAACTGAAATCTTTGGCTAGTTACAAGGATAAACCACCATCGGACCTGCAGAGCAAACCAGTTGTTACGGAGCGAATTAGCAAAACGGAGATCAAGGAGTACAAGAAACGGAAACGAAGGAACAATCATAATGTGCCCAATACTGCCACTACAACTCCTCCCAGTACGCCAAGCCAGAGAAACGACAATACGATGAAGTTGCTCCAAATTGATTACGACAAATCGACGCCGTGGCCTTCGGAGTCGGACACCGTGCACTTCTCCTCACTAGAAGAGACATGGAGGACGAACAACAATCGCCACCACCAGAGGTTCGACACGTTCGATGAAGGTACTGTAGACCAAACTTTTGACATTGAAGATTACTTATACATTCCGTCTAATTGCAACAACTTTTGTTGCGATTTCCTCTCCGGCATTTTGGAAAATTACCTTTGCCTCGTTCCCAGTCACTCTCGCTCCGAACCCGTTCCCAGAAATCCCTTTTACACTGACGAGTTACGCAGAAAGATCATGGCGCACGAGCGCGAACATAGATACTCCTTCTCTGACACTGAAGACGAGAATTTGTCGAACGATCTGCAGGATTTGAAAAAGGTAGTCAGCCAGATCGTCGATAATTGCAGCGAGTTTATCAACCAACCGGCGGTTATACCCGAAGTGGAGGAGTACGAAAAAACGTTACAATCGGAAGATATGGCCAAAGTGTCTGCCATACCGTTCGATTTGCACAATTTGAATTTACGCAAATTTTCCCCCAGTCCGGTCATGAATTTCAGCTCGCATTCCAATTCGCCGGCTCACAATTTCTTTTCCGATTTCTACAATGGCAGCGACAGAGCGAACGGCCCAGATTTCAATGACAATACGAACTCGTATCTTACAACCGCAACAGATTTCGCCGGAATAGTTCCGGAACTTCCAAATTCTGCAGAGGAAGAGCTCTCCAACGCGAACCACGATTCAGAACTGGCCGACGCTCCTAGTAGTTCTTCATCAGAAGAAAGCAAAGAGGAAACTATGCAAGAGCAGAATGATAGAAAGAGCTCGAGTGCTATCGAAGAGTGTCCTCCACAGCAGACTAGATTGCCATTGAAAAAGCGTAAACATTCATTTGCGAACGCAATGGGCGAATTCGATGACGACGACGACGATTTCATAGGGCCTGAACTGATTGAGGAGATTATTAAGCAAGCACGAGCTGAAGAGAACGAAAAGGAGGACATCAGTTATCCGGCCAAACCGGCCATCAGCATAGCAGAGATTCAGGAGAAATTGGTAGATCCGCAGCAGCCGAGAACTTTTAAGACGCCCGCTCAAAAGAAGGAAATGCCGCAGGCGGCAGCGCCGCAACTCTCGCTGCCTCCGCAGTTGCAGCAACAACCGAATATTGTTACTGAACAGTATAATAATCACACCTACAATAATCCCACTATTAATTATCACATGAACAACGTTCCTTATCCCTTCTTTCCTTGTACTAGTTTGACTTATTTCCCGCCCATTATTTTGCCATTAAACAGCACGACCACTTTTGATATGAACATGGTTAACTCTCAACAACAACATCAACATTTACAACAGCAGCAGCAAGTGCCGCTGGTGCAAGAACAGCGCATTAAAAAAGAAAAGAGAAGCAAGAGAAGACGAAGAAATTAAAAATTAAATTATATCTCACTTATTTCGTACTAATTTATTTTCTATAAATTTCGCGTTAATTTTGTCAATTTCAAAACATTGATATTTTTGTTGACGCGATAGGAAAGAAGATAAACCGAAGAAAAATCAAGAAAATTTATGATTTTTCTTTTTGGAAAACTGGATAATCATGGGATAATCTCTTCCAGAAATAGGATATGAAATAATCTGAACGCACTCTTGCTATTTTCATGTATTTCTCGTTTTCTCACAAACTACATATGAAGAAAGAAAAAAAAATCAGAATTGAAATACAAAAAAATCAATTTTATCTTTTCTAGTAATTTGTTGTCTTAAAATTTCAATAATTTTTGTAATTTAAAAAAACGTTTTATTCATTTTTGACAACACGGAAACGAAGAAACGAAAAACGTAGAAGAACATTCTAAATAGGAAGGATATTTCTAATAATGCAGCACACAAGCAAGAGCAAACAGGAATAGCAGGAGAGCATAAAAATTGGAAAAATGAGCAAAGAAAGGGTCTGGAAACTGGATAATATCGGGTTATTTAGTTAGGAGTAGGAGGAAATAAAATAGTTACATATGTAACGGGATAATACATATAATAATCACCCTTTAAAACGTCTCCCATACCTTTCATCCATGTACTATCTTAATGTATTTCCCGCCCATTCTTTTGCCTATCATTGACAGACATCAACAAGCGAACGTTCAAGAATCCGATGGAAGAAAGAAAAAAGAACCAAGAAGATAATTATTTAAACTGTTCAAGTTTTATTTCATTTAAACTTTCAGTATTTGCATAATCTAGTAATTGTTTGAAGGCTGTGAATGTCACTGTTTTTTTATAAATAATTTTAATGTTTTTATTATTAAGTTTTTTTTTTTTTAATGATGAAAATTCGAATTTAAATAGTATAATATATAATTAAAAAAGACATAGAAGAAGAAATGAAGAGACTGAAGATTGAAGCATCACTATTGAAGAATGAAGTTGCGTTTGTAGCACTGAAGAAAATAAAACGTTTGAATTTAACTCTGCATGTTGAATTTTATTAGATGTTAAATATGAGTAAAGAATTACATACTTGTATACGTTTATTAAATGTCTTAACTAAATGTCCGATGTTTCTAGGTAGACGAAAATTAATCGTTGCATTTATATCATTCATTCATTTATTTATTCGTTTATTTATTATGATATTACAATATCTTTTATTATTTTTTTTAGTTCTATTTTTTGTTTATACAACGAGTAACGCATTTTCTGTTTTCAAGGTCGGTCGGTATACAATGGACGGAAAGTTGGAAAACGAAAAATTCAAAGTAAGTTTTTTATTTTTATATATTTATCGAGTCCGTTTCAATAGAAACCAATTTTTTATAAATAATAAGCAAATAGGATCAATTGTTTATACAGTGAGCATCTTAAGTCTTACCCCCCCCCTAACTAACTCGTTACTGGGGTCTTGTTAGGAAAATCGCCGAGACAGGTCGATTTTTAATTTCTACAATGTATATTTTTGCATGATTAGTTAACCCTTAATTTCATCCCTTACTGGAGGGTAAAAACCCTTTCGAAAAATTTAAATGGCATGGGGTGGTGAGTGATAGCTCATTTGAAAGGGGGTTTTATTCTCTATTCAACCGTGCAAAAAAATTTTGAAATTTGCATCATTACATGTTGATTTATTAATGTTTAAAAATAACAAAACCTCACAAAATAGGAAAGCATCTAGACTAACAGTGACCTTCTAATGGCAAAAAGTCTTACTTCACGTCTGAACCAAAACCGAAGTCATGCAGGGCCGAATTTTAATTCTAAGGATGAGTGCGCTACGTTAATTTCCGTTATTCTGAAACAACAATTAGTCGATAATTAATTAAGCAAATTTCAAATTTTTTTACACGGTTGAATAGAGAATAAAACACTCTTTCAAATGAGCTATCACTCACCACCCCATGCCATTTAAATTTTTCGAAAGGGTTGCTCCCCTCCAGTAAGGGATGAAATTAAGGGTAAACTATTCATACAAAAATGTACATTGTAGAAATCATAAATCGACCTGTCTCAGCGATTTTCCTAACAAGACTCCAGTAACGAGTTAGATAGGGTGCTCACTGTATACATAAAGAATGGAACACAGAACAACTGAAAATTCTCTGATTAAAAATACACATTGTTTTTTAAAACGATAGCCTATTATTTTACTATTAGCATATTACAGACTATTATGTCCTAACAAAGGAAACAATAAGGAACTATCGCCTTCGCAGGTTTTTATCGTATGAATCATTCAAATGGTCATTGTTGAATGTAGAGGTTTTGGTGTTTCTTTGTACATTTAAAGTTAACTTATTCCCAAGACTAGTGGACTGCTTATATTAAAGGTGCTGGTTTTGTCCTCGTTGTAGAATTAAATAGTCTGCCACAATTAACACCATTTAATCGAAAATTCTTCGAACTGATATAACAAAACGAAATGACGCCTCAGTGAAAAAGCACATTGTGTTGACAGCGGTGAGGCATATCCTTTTCTGCTAAGAGTGAGATCTAATCTGAAGCTTGTTAGCGGTTAAAAAAAAAACGAGATAAGAAGCATCGCCTTCTTGACAAGTCTGCCCAATTATCCAAAGGGGCGCCAGAGTTGGTTTTGAGATTTTTGTGCCCAGATACAAATTGTTAAATTTAAATATTGTTGTATGTTTTAATGTGTTGAATGTCTAAAGATGGAAAAACCGCGGAGTGCTATTAAATTAGAAATAAAAAAATTGTAGCTAATAATAATTTTTGAATTTAAACTGTAACACCCCGTATTTCGGAAACCAGTAATATTTTATCTAAGCATGTTTCGTTTAATCGTTTCATTTTTATTCAGAGAATCTTTAGTTGTTTTGTGTCCCATTCTTAATGTATATTAGGGTGGGCCGAAAGTATCGAATTTTTAGATGTCCTTTTGGAATAGTGCCCAAAAGTTGCCTTATGTTATCCCCACCAAAATGTGTATTTACAGTTTTTTAATTTTCATGCATCTTCTGCCCCCTACCGCAACTCAAAATTTAAAAGAAAAAAATTGAAAATCGAAATTTGGATTTCCGATTTGGAATAGTGGTCAAAAGTTACCTTATGTTATCCTCACCAAAATGTTTTTTAATTGTCATGCGTCTTCTGCTTATTGTGTAAAGTCCTTTTTGCTTTCAAATTGTGGCATTAATTTACGAGAATTTAATCTTTTATAAATCCATCTCGCTTTTTACTACCTACAACTGATAACGATGCTTCCCTCACTAATTTTACACATCTCTCCACAGCTTGCGTGTGACAGGGGTAAGATGTAATCTCAATGACTTTATTTGGGGTTTCTTTTATTATATTTTCAAGTTCGCCTAATTCTAAATGTTGAAGTAGTGGAGGAGGAGTAATATCATTATTTTGCCAGCCTATTAAAGTGGTATAGTCATCTGCATCAAACTTCAGTTCTGGTATTTTAAAAACACGAATTTTTTCTGAACTTTGCCCTTTCTTGGCATTTAAAATACGACGCATAGCAAGTTCTCTAATATGGGGACGAGAGTCACTTAACATTATTATGTATGTTAAGGTTTTCTGGGTGTGCAAAAAATGCATTTCGTTGGATAACTGGGTCAATGATTGCTTTCAGATCGTCTCTTAAATATCGACTTTGCTTAATGGTTTGCCATACATGTTTTTCCCCATTTGTACAAGAGTTGTTTCGTTTAATTAAAAACCACGTTGAAGCATAGACTTTAAGAACGAAATTTGTCAGTTCTTTCAAATTCAATATCAATCAATATATATGTTTATTGTCAAAGCTACAAGAACTTATAGACAAACACTTATAAATATAATTATTATGTAGTACTAACAATTACATGCATACAAATTTAAAAATTGTATAAAAACGTTAAATATAAAATTAGAGGTTAATTACAAATACGTAACACAACATCGATAAAATTATATAAATACAAAAATACAAAAACATGTACGTTCAAACAGTCACAACGATTTAAGAGTAATTGTAAAATTCCGTCAAAGCATAATATGCTTTTGTCATCAACATATCTCTAAGCAGTAATTTAAATGTTGTGACCGTTTTCGTCGATTTAATATAATTTGGCAACTTATTGTACATTTTAATCCCATTATAAATGAAAGAGCCCCTTACCAGTTCAGATTTGGGTATGGGCAACCGCAGGTTGTCAACTTGTCGCGTTAGCCGAGCGTTAGTATTGGCATAGTTCGATTTATTTTTATGTATAATACAAGTGGTTTCAAGAATGAACAACGATGTTAATGTTAAAATTTCATTTCTAATAAAGTGTGGCTGACATGACTCAAGCTTGTTCATTCCACATAAAAATCGTATTGCTCTCTTTTGCAGACAAAAAACAGTATTGAATAATTCGCGGCTGCAATCTCCCCAAAATGCAATTCCATATCTCAAATGGGACTCAACTAGGGCGTAATACACACTTTTTGCTGCCTTAAGACCTAGTTCTTTTGCCACAGTTCTGACTGCAAAACATCCAGAAGAAAGTTTTCTGTTTAGCAATTCTATATGGTTTCTAAATTTCAAATTATTATCTATATTAATTCCCAGAAATTTTATTGTGTCAGTACTTTCAATAATATGACTTCCCAACTGAATATTTGGTAGGGAACATTTAAGGGTTAGCATTTTAGTTTTTCCCATATTAAGACGCAAATAGTTGGGCATCGCACCATGCTTTGATTTTCTTAATGTCACAGGATATGGTGTTGTATAGGACAGAAGTGTCATTCCTGTGCCATAAAATCGTAGTATCATCTGCAAATAGAGTGAAAGTACCTGCAATTTCAAGTTGAGCTAAGTCATTCACATAAAGGAGAAATAAAATGGGACCTAACACAGAACCCTGAGGGACACCCCAACTAATATCTAAAACTTGAGAATCCTGAGACGCTCTTACCATTTGCTTACGTTCTGAAAGATAAGATTTTACCGATCTCAGCGCTCCGTTTTTGATCCCGTAAACTCGAAGTTTATCCAACAGTACTGTATGATTGACTCAATCGAACGCCTTAGTTAAATCACAGAATATCGCCGCTACAGAATCGTCAACATTAAGTCTAGAATAAGCATGTTCAAGATAAGAAAATATCGCATCAGAAGTACTTTTGTTCCTTTGAAAACCAAACTGTTGTGTTTCCAGCAATTTGTGAGTTTCTAGATAATGAATCAAACGTTTCTTTACAACTTTTTCAATAATTTTGGCCACTGTAGGAATGAGATATATAGGCCTGAAGTTCGAAGGATCGTAGTTACTGCCGCCTTTATGTATGGGAACAATAACACTGGTCTTAAGAAATGACGGAAAATTTGATTCGACGAAACTTTGGTTGGTCACACTAGCAAGGACTAACATTGCTGATTCAGGAAGGTTTAGGATAACTCTAATAGAAATATCATCATAACCAGCAGCATTTTTGTTTTTAATATCTGAACATATTCCCATTATTTCAAAACATGTTGTAAAACTTAGAGTAAAGTTGGAGTTAACATGGGTATTTTTTAAATAATCTAAAGGATCAACTGACGATCTGAAATTATTAGTCAGATTTTGAGCAATAATACTGATTAAATGTTTCTGAATCGATGTAGTTCTTAACGGATTTGGAATTTTGTTTATTTTTCAATTCATTAATAATATTCCAAGTTTCTTTAACTTTATTATTAGATTTTTCAATTCTAGAATAATAGTATATGTCCTTAGCTTTTTTAATAACAGCCCTATATATTTTCCTGTAATGGAGGTAATAGATTAAAAAGAATTCATCTTGGACATATTTTTTAATGTAATGGAGGGATCCCATATTTTTTGCTGGAAATGGTTTCTTTGGTGAAAATATACAAACGTAATAAGCGATTTCCAAAGTAAGCCATCGGGAATGGATTAATTGTTTGCTAAATCTACAGAACATTGACCAGAGGATATGGCACGGCAAATTATGTAAAGGTATTTCTGATCGATACTTAAGTCGCTACACTGTACTTCCGGTCATTTACAGCCAATAACTTCATATTGCACAACTGGCAAATTTTCACATCGGACTACAAGCTGGCCCAGTACACCTACAAACGCACTAGGACCGGTTGTTTTTCCATCAAGGTGTAGAAAAAGATGTCTTAAAGGTAGCTCGTTGGCATTCAGCTGGCAGATAAATCGTTGTAAAGGGCGTCCTAACTTATATTCAAGTAGAGTAATCACTCCATTCTTTACTACTGTGCCGTCAGACCCCACTGCTAATAAGCTTGACAAATCGTGGTTATTTTCTTGTAAAAAGTCAAGTATACTTTGACAAAGATTTTTTGCAGATCCTGAGGAGGGTATTGTATGTCCCAGAAACACCGAACCTGGTTCTTGCACTAAAGATATGTGTTCTTCAGTTACTGTTCTTCTGCGAGATTTGCCGTTTATTTCTTCAAGAGATGTTTTATCTTTTCTACCGTCAAAATACATTGCAGTAATAGGTTCACAGTCTACCAAATTAATAATTTTAGTTCTTAAATGTTCTCTGGCTCTTCTTAACTTATTTTTATCTATTATTTGCACTGAACTTTCTTTTGTTACGATACCAACATCCTGTAAGACAGCTGTAGCTACAGCTGCTGCAGATCTATCCGATAGTCTGTATCTGTCACACACTTTGGCGAGAGTAGGAAGTTTAATTGTATTTCTGAGAATTGCTAATTCTTTTGAAGTAGACGGTTGTTCACAAGATGTATCTAAGTAATGACTAGAGGAAACTGGTATATTAGTTGTTTGTTTCGAAAAAATGTTTGGCTTAATGTCTAGCGTCACTTTTGTATCATTTTCAGAGCAAACCTTTTTGTGTAATTCTTTCCTTTGTTGCATTTTCTCCAAACGTCTATTTTTGTTTTGGTTGTTTCTTTTGCATCAACACCTACCCTAACCATTTTTCTGGAAATCACCTATTAAATAAGAAAATATGTCGGACGACAAATGGGAAATTATATCACTAAAGAAAATAAATGTATTTATTTATTTATTTACCTTTTTTCTTTGCTACAGGGACATTCTTCAAGATTTTTGCATTTGCAGGAACTAATGTCGAAAAGTTTTTATTTTCAGCTGTATAACTTTTTACTTTTAAAACATAGTTTTAATTCCTTTTAACCTTTGGGACCCACAAAAGCTTTGAGTATCTATCATGTTGAATTTTGACGAGTTGCAAAACGCGTTTGTGTGTTACTATCGGGATTGACGCTTTCTGCCATAAATTTACAATCTTATCAACAAATATGAAATTTCTGAAACTGTCAGTCAGGTTGTTTTAGGCTATACCTTACCCACAAGAATCACCTCAAAACTTCTTCTTGTGTCGGAAGAACACTGTTCTTTAAATCTGCTGGTGATCCCACTAAAGGATCCTCGGTGTCTTGTCTTGTGTGAAATGTTTTTAAGAAACTCATATTTCGATTATTCTGAAGTACTTTTTCGTATGCAACACTGACAAATTATGGTCACAATAACACAACACGTTGCTGGTACGTTTATCTCACAACTACGAAAACAATCGTCTACGACTCAACGCCCCACCAACGGTGTGTACGACAGGACCCCATTTAGACCAACCACTTAATAATAATATCTACTTATTTTAATAAGCTGTAGGTTCTAGTAGGGGCAGAAAACGCATGATAATAAAAAAACGGCAAGTAAACATGTTAGTTGCAATAACAAGTTTTGAGTTGCAGTAGGGGACAGAAGATGCATAGCAATCAAAAAACTGTTAATAAACATTTTGATTGGCAACTTTTCAAAACGAAATTTCAAATTCTTTTAAAAAGTCCGTTTTATGGCCCACTCTACTGTATATGTAAATGCATAGAAAACCTAAAATTTGGATTCTCTAAAGATGTTTCTACATGTTTCACGTGGCTTAATACCAAATATAATTTTTATTATTCTTTTTTTTTATATTCTGTTGCTACTTACAGAATTATCCTATATTGTATGAAAGGCGACCATAGACGTAAACATTTATTAATGCAGAAAAAGGCATAGTTTTCTTTCTTTAAGAGTCGTGAAATTTTTACAGACTTGCTAGTTTCTCAGGACACTAATAAAGTGTCATCAGCAAACAATGTTCAGACATTTTTATGATTCTTGCATTAATATTGTCAAAGTTAAAGCTATTTAAGTGCTTTAAATAGGAACGTCGAAAAACGTTTATAAGAACGTGTTTAAAAAAGTCAGTGGCGCATATTTTTTTGTTAATAATATTCGGCAATGTGTCCTCCGGGATTCCACTAGATTTTATAATTTTAATCTAATTAAGGCTATATTAGTCCCTTATTACTACAAACAACACTGCTAAATTTCTACAAAATCGGCCAAAGGAATTTTTAAGATATTTATAAAAATAGATTTTTTTTAACTATAAACTATAAATTTTAGACCCAGGTTCATATAGCGGCTTGGCATTGATAGTGGCACAACTCAAAAAAAAGTCAAAACTCTTTTACTAGCGCGAAAGCTATGAAGAGTTAGATGTGCCGTTTTCTATGATTAAATTATATACAATGCAGTACATTTATGTGTAGAAAAATAGTTTTGATTTTTTTTGAGTTGTGCCACTATCAATGTCAAGAAGCGATATGAAAAAATGTCCATGTTTTCTTGTGAAGAATCACTCCTGAAATTATTCAAACGCAATTCCGGACACCCTATATATTCCTAATGACATTTTTATCTAAAAAAATCATATAATTTTTATGTTTTTCGATAATGTTAATACAGTCTTCAAGTAACAATAATAGTCCAATCAAATAGACCTTTAAATCAAAATTTTGGAGGAAATACGGGAATTTTTGATATGTCACTTTAGAGTATTTGAAAACGATATGTAAAAAAATTGTTTTTCAGGCACCGGCAAATGTCAAAAAACAAGAAAATAAAGTGTTTTTTTTAGGTTATTTGAAAACGGTAGGTGCTATAAAAAAAGTTCTTAATAAAAATTGTAAAACAAAGTTTTACATAAAAATGATATCTGACATTTTTTGATATTATTAAAACTGATAGAGTTAAGGGTGGTTAGAAATTAAGAGGAGATATATATGACTTTAAAAAATCATAGCGAGCTGAAAATTCAATGATTTTGTAGTTTCTTTTTATTATTTACTCAGAAAATTATAAATTTCTTTTAAGAAAAATTATTACTTTTTTGCTTTTTTAAGTTATAACAATTTTAGTTTAGAAATTTTCAATATATTATATGAATTTATATGGTAAAATAAATTTTGAAGTAAACTTATTAGCTTGACTGACGTGAAAAATATGAGGAGTGAACTAATAAAAACGACATTCCGAGAGTTTGGTCCCCACTTGAAGTTCCACTAAATAAATAAAAATAAAAAAAAAATAAAGAACTAAATAAAAATATTAAAAAAAAATAAAAATAAATAAATATAAATAAAAATAAGTAAAACTAAAAAAATAAAAATAAATAAAAACAAATGTAAATAAATAAAAAAATTAAAATAAAAAAATAATTAAAAAATAAACAAAAAATGTCTATAAATAAAAATACTAAATGGTTAAAAAAATTAAATAAAATTAGGTAAATTATTAAAAATAAAAAATAAATAAAATTAAACAAAAATAAATGAAAATATAAGTGTAAAAGAAAATAAATAAAATTAAATAAAAATAGGTAATTTATTAAAAATAGAAATTAAACAAAAACAAATGAAAAGATAAATAATGTAAAAGAAAGTAAATAAAAATAAAAAATAAATAAAAATTAATAAAAATAAAATAAAAATCAAAAAATATTTTTTTTAATTTTATTTATTTTCTTTTACTTTTATCTTTTTATATATTTTTGTTTAATTTTATTTATATATTTATATTTATTTAGTTTTTTTATTTGTTTTTATTTTTATTTATTGGAACTTCAAGTGGGGATCAAACTGTCGGGATGTCGTTTTTATTAGTTCACATATTTTTCATGTCAGTTAAGCTAATAAGTTTACTTCAAAATTTATTTTACCATAGAAATTCGTAAAATATATTGAACATTTCTAAATTAAAATTGTTATAACTTAAAAAAAAAAACAAAAAGAAACTACAAAATCATTGAATTTTTAGCTCGCCAATATTTTTCCAGGTCATATATATCTCCTCTTAATTTCTAACCACCCTAACTCTGTCAGTTTTATTAATGTCAAATATCATTTTTATGTAAAACTTTATGCTTTACAATTTTTATTAGGAACTTTTTTTTATAGTACCTACCGTTTTTAAATAACCTTAAAAAAATACTTTATTTTCTTGTTTTTTGACATTTGCCGGTGCCTGAAAAACAAATTTTTTTTACATATAGTTTTCAAATACTCTAAAGTGACATATCAAAAATTCCTGTATTTCCTCCAAAATTTTGATTTGAAGGTCTATTTGATTGGACTATAAGTTCAGTAGCAACCCTAAAACAATGTCACTGACCAATTTAACAGAACTGATACTTTAGTTGTCAGAAAAATTGCAGAGAACTTCCATAAATTAAATTTCTTCTTTTACCTGTTAGTAATAAAAAAACAATAAAAATACAGAAACAAAATATAAATTATTGTTAAAAAAATATTTATATAAGTAAATGGCAGGAGCAGGTGGTAATTGTTGAAGACTCATTCTTATTTATTGACTTATAAAATTCGTAATATTAGTCATTTGTTTTTTTTTATTACAGGAAGCGGTGACGAACATGAAGTTAGAAAGAGAGGTAAGAAAATCATTTTTTTTAAATTTCCAATATTTTTTTATTCACAGGCGACTTTAAAAGTTTTCAACAAGTAAATGGCCCAAAAACAAAAACCGATACTACTTGGTCACTTAAAAAGTCACTAATGGGAAAAGAGTCTAATTTGAAAACTTTTTGATACTATGTATTTGTTTGGATTTGTGTTTTGATTAGATACTTGTGCTATAAATGTTGAAGTGGGCGCGCCTTTTATTTTTACTCGAACAGTCGCTGATTATGTTGCTAGTCACAGAAAAACTATCAAAATAATAATAAATTTTCACTAAATTGTTAGTTTAAATGATAATTTAAAAATAATAAAGATAACAAATATTGGACTTCCTCCCACAAATGGTAAGTCGCTCAGGGGAACGGAGGTCTGCACAAACGAATCAAAAGCTATTGCTCACCAAAGTTAATTTTCTAATCGGGCGATGTCGCTATATTGTGTTGCCTAGCACATTTAGGAAATCATATCATTTACCTTGATTTTGAAAAAGTGTTCGACAAAGTACCAACAGTGTTATTACTTTATAAATTAGAAAATGTTGGAGTTAGGGGTAAACTACTGAAGCTTAATTTGCTGATGATGGAAACTCATATGCAAATCCACTGATACATCATGCTAAATTACAAATGGACCTTAACAAAATCAAAAGGTGGACACAGGATTGGAAAAAGACTTTGAATTATTCCAAATGCACTGTTTTACATATCGGTCAAATAATCTCATTTTCAACAATTTTTTTGAACAAACGGAAATTATGTCAGTAACAAAACAAAAAAACTTAGGAATTACTTTAACATCTGACCTAAAATGGGAAACACATATCACACAAGTTACCAAAAAGGCCAATTCAAACAGTCTTTAAACACTTATCAACAGAAATGACTTGAAACTTCTCAAATCATATGTAAGACCAAAATTGTCTGGAATCCATACTACGTCAAAGACATAGGGCAGATAGAAAGAGTGCAAAGGCAGATAACCAAATTAAAAAACCCTTAAAAATGTGCCCCCTATGAGGACAGGCTTGCAAGATTAAATCTAAAAACTTTAAGAGACATTTAAAATAATCAACAGTCACTATACTTGTAATCTGAGAAACATCTACCACTTTAGTCACAATACAAATCTGAGAGGTTATAATCAAAAGCTTTCAAAAGAAAAATGCAATAAACTCCTGTGGAGAAATTTTCTTATCAATAGAGTAGTAGCCTATCATTGGAACCGCCTAAGCATCAGTACCATTAATTCTACCTCCACAAATAAATTCGCCTCGCCAGGAAATGAGAAATTACTGTGTATAGAAGCTAACCATACGAAAAAAATCTATTATGTGATATTTTTGATAAACTGTGATAGCAGTTTAACCAAATACGGCAGTCTCATCGGTTTAAAACCGCTTACTGTCAATAATAAATATGTAAACTTTTATATAAACATAATAGTTATTGGTTAGGCCAAAAAAGTTCATATGGCCAAGGTCCACACAACATTTTTTAGTCAACTGTCTCATCAAGTAGAGCCATTTTTTTTTATTTCCTGACTAGTAGAATTTTATATAAATAAAAAATTCTCTGGTTTATTCGGTCGTTTTTATTGTTTTTATAAAAGTTAAGTTAAAATAAGTCAAAAAATACTCACTTTTCTTGAAAAAATTCAATAAAATGACTATTTAATAATATATCATTTTAATTTCAATATCCTCAGGATGACACTGAGGCGTCTAAGGTTTGAATTGTAATCTACAATGTAAACTTAAATGTCAAACAAAAGATTAGGATTTAGATGAAGCCAATTTCCTACAAACTTGGCACCCAAATACTGCCCTTTTGTCATGTTTATAGGAGCTTTGGAGCAAAACCGAATAAATCCACTACAAACGATTTTTGGGAAAACACGTTTTTCCATTTGCACAAAAAGTACTGGTTTTTTCGTTTGTTTTGTTAAAACAATACTATTGGAGACTTCATTAATAATACATCATTTGCAATTATAATTTTGAAAAATGATTTTTGTTAAAAATATGAAAAATCAAAATTCAAAACTACGCGCACTAATATAAGAGAAAAAAAATCAAAATAAAGAAATATCTCTTACAAAGTGCTTTAAAACTACAGTGAATGCCGATGTGTTGTTTACACCACTTTACTAGAGTATTTATTCGGTTTTGCACAAAAACATCAATTTTTTTTATTAAAAAAAAAAAAAGTTGCATCAACCATACAAGGTTATTAGCAACATCGGTCTATGCATGTAACAATTTTATTATATTTGGTTTTAGGTATTTAAAAATATTGTTACACAGGTTTTTGGGATCACAATTTTTTTCAACTCAACTTTAACAACAATTATATAACTGATAACATTAACATGTAACGTCTATCATCAAACTAAAAACTGACGTCAGGATCATCCTTATATAGCTTGCTTTTCGAACTGTCGTCTAGAATATTCTTGACGGGTAATGACATTTCTGGACTATTCCATCTTCTTTTACTTGTACTTTTACTTATGACGACCGCAGCACACTGTAGAATGATGAGTAGCATTCTACTTATTTTTCTATTCGTACGTTTCCTATAACAGTCGCAGGCTACTGCAGGGTGCTGCGTAGCATTGCTCCCTCCTATCTAGTTATTCGCTCCGAATAACTTAATTACTGGGACCTAGTTGAAACTAATGGGGAGGATCTGGACCATGGTATGCAGCTATCTTTCCAATGTGAACTACGTTGGATTTACTTCCCGTTGACAGTTGAATGCGGCAGATAGGTCGTTGATTTTCCTTAAGGACGGAGTAGGGGCCTTCCCAGTTTTGTTGCGTTTTCTGACGAAGTCCTCCTTTCTGCTTGGGATTGCACAGCCATACCTTGTCGCCCCTCTCAAAATGTGTATCTGTGGTACGCCTACCGATTCTAACTTCTGCTTTATCGGTGTGGGCTTTTTTTACACCAATCCGCTACATCCCGTCGGCAATTGACCCAATAAAATCTTTCCCGAACTCGTGCCAGTGTCCTTTTAGTATCAAAGTGTCCTCCTGAATGGCTGCTATGAAGCTCCTCCATTATATTTCTCACCTGTGACCTCGGCAGTATCACTTGGCGGACTACTTGTACTCCATCGGGGCTCTCCCACTTCCGGTGCAATAGGCCATCGTGAAGATACAGGGAATCCGAGTGGATCCAGTGGGCTACTGCAGGGTGCTGCGTAACAATATGATAACAATTTGTTTCATCTAGTATATTTAATAAATTGTTGGGTAGGTTGCAGTCCGTTCTCTGGACAGTGAAGTGTACGCATTCAGTCAAAATATGTTTAACTGAGAATCGTTACACAAACCTCGCAAATCGAGATTAGTTTACCTTTCATAAGATATTCGTGCGTCAGTCTTGTGTGGCCGAGGCGCAAACGCGACATTCACTTGCTTCTCTATTTTATTGGGATAGCACAACCACTTCTGATATGTGGGTTTAATTACACTTAATTTTGATTCGAACTGATTCCACTGAGATTGCCACAAATTTATTAACAGTTGATTTAAATGAATTTTTAAATCCGCACTTAACACCTTTTGGATACTTTGAGAGTTATCGGCTGTTATTGCTTCGCGAGCGCACTGGTCAGCTACTTGGTTATGAAGATCTCGGTTTTGATGTCTTGGACAATTGGGTGCTTGGAGTATAGTTGTTGGATTGAGTATAAGGAATTAAGTGAGTCTGTTGTGAGTTTGTGATTGGCTTTTATTAATGTGGATAAGAGCTCGGTATATAGCGTATAATTCTGCAGATAGGATGCTGGTATGTGGAGAGAATTTATAAAGAAATTTGTGGGATGGTGCTCCAACGCCTATATAATATTTAGAAGCATTTGTGTATATATGCTCGTAATCAACATAGTTGGAAAATCTAAATCCAGTATTATCACACCATTCCTCGAGGTGCGTAAGGCAGTTCTCTAAATAGGATTGTATTGAATTTTAAGTTTTTGCCTTTAATAAAAACTACAAGGTAATTCGCGTATAGTCGGGCTTTCAGCGGTTTTTTTAGATTCTGCAGAATTCCGTTGAGGGCGACAAGGAAAAGTGATGTACTTATAACTGATCCTAACATCAATTTCGACCCTGAATTTTACAAAGATTTATTTGGTTTTGCTCCAAAGCTCAATTATAATAAAGCAAAAATAAAATGAATATATACTATGAACGTGTTTATATGAAAATCTTACTGTTAATAGAGTATTTTTTTTTAATCCAAGTACATTTTGATATTTAATTGTTCATATGTATCTGCCTTCTAGGCATTCTGTGTTCTAATTCCTCGTTTCTTAATTTGTCTTTAAATGTACTATTTAAGAAACAGCTTTTTATTGTAAAATTTTGTTGCAATGTAGTTTAGAGATTTTTCAGTGATATGGATAATTTTGGTGATTTTTATCATTAAATTTCATATCATTAAGTATTCTGACTGCTCTTTTTTGTATTTTATGAAAAATATACATGTTTACGACGCCTTTAAAAAAACATTTAATTTAAAAATAACTATTTACATTTTTTTTTTTTTTTTTTTTTTCAGGTCGACCCAAAAAGACAACTTGATAGTATGCTTGAAATGATGTGACAGAACCGAAGACGTGAAACGCACGACAAAAAAAAATCGAACACGATTAAATAAGATACATTTCAGTAAGTCACTCAACAAAGTACAATTTTCATGAAATACACTTTTCGCAAAAATAAGTTTGAAGAATGAACTCGAGATGTTAGACGTTAGGTGCAATTTAAAATTAAAAAAGGAAATTGACTGAAAAAGGAGCAAGCAGTACAGTTAGTTGTTTAAAAATAGAACAACAACCAGTAATCACCTCTCAGCTGCAAAGCGTTTTATCTGTGATTTTAAATTAGTTTAAAACAAATAATAAGTTTAATAAAATAGCGAACGGCGATGTTGGCCGTTTATTAAATATAGGAAGTCGTGTAAATAGTTTTGTTTTGTAAAAAGTTTTTTTTTTTTGTTTTATCTTAACGAAAAAATAGGTGTGTAAAGTACAAATTATATTGTTTTATTGTACAGATAGATATTTTTCGGTTCTAAGAATCATAATTTATACATTTTTTCAATTACCGGTTTTTTGCCTTTTTTTGTTTCCTTTTGTTCTACTCATTTATTTGTAATTGTCGTTTAAAAACCGATATTTATTTGTTTTGTATGCAATAAATTTTCTTGACTCGATTTAATGGTTTTCTTTATGTAGCTGATCGCGCTTACATTTTACTCGCTTTATTTTATTATTTGCTGCCACTACAAGGGTTGATCCATATGCCGGGCTTCCGATAAAATTTGGCGCAGTCAGAAGGACAAAATAGTGATTAATATGCCCACATTAGGCTCTTGTACGAAAATAAGATCTACTTTCAAATCGATGATTGCCTATTGATAAAAAAATGGAAATGAAAAACTACCTTGTGGAAGAAAACTGACAATTGGAAATAGCACCGTAATTATTATTGGCTTTGGTGGATGTTAGACTGGGATTTAGATATTTCAGCAGAAATCAAATTTTTATATACTAAAAAGCATAGGGGATCAACCCTCCTAATACTTAAATTATTTGTTCAGCACTTAGCATATTAGGGTTAGTAGGTTACAAGAGATGCAATGTGGAAATATAAAATAATGAAAATCCTATTATCAATGGTAAAAACGGTATTTTTTTTTATCAAATGCTTCTTGAAGGACAGGAAACGGCTTGAGTAATTTAATTAAACTCGAAAACAGATTTTTTTTAACCATAAATTTGCTGCTCTAATAGATTCAAATTCTGACTTTACAAAAAGCATAAATTCAAATAAATATGAGTAACTAAAAAGGCGTAAAAGTAATATTAGTATTACAACGAATTAGAGCTGTGGTTTTGTGTTTAGGTTTTTATTTTCGTTTATTTAAATTTAATTTTCCTCCGCCTAGTTACGAGATATAAAGTTAATCTTATATTATGTGTTTTCAGTGGAATAATTGATATCATTTACAACATTAAAAATAAAATAAAAACTACATGGTATATTTTGGTAGGTAAACAAATTATTTTGAAATACAACTAAATTAATATAAAAAAATTAAAGTTTTTAATGTTGTTTATGATCACAAAATTGTTTTAGTATCATAATCGGTTATTCTGTGTATAAGAAGGAAATTTAATAAATTATAAACCTGACAATAAACAAATAAATAGGAAATAGTTTCAAACAAACTGTCAAGGGTGGTGTCTGGCCATATCTTCGAAACCGTTTAACTGGACAATTTTAGGTTTTTTTTTTTACAAAATCGTCCAAACGAAAATACTGAAAATACATTATTTTAAACCTAGTTTTTATTAGGAAAACTAAACATTATTTTGGAAGTGTGATGTGCTCGTTATTTTCCTGTGTTGTACAGGTTGTAACGGAAAGAAAACGTGTAAATATGTTCAGTCTTGAAGGAAATTCGTAGATAAGTCATTTTTTGAGTGTTTTTGAAAACCTTCGTTTCATAAGGCATCTTTACAACACCTAGGCACACTTCGTAAACGATTTTCATTATTAAAATTAACAGAGAAGTATATTTTCCCCAGAAACTACATTTAAAGTAACCTCCGCATATATGGCAGGTTTTCACTAACACTAACCTTAATTCATTCATGTTTGCTATTAAACAACGTGGCTTTAAACATGAAGGGACATAGAGCTTTTGTCACTGATTTAACTGTCAATAGTTTACATTTTCGTTATCCGTTTCCAATTATAAGAACTGGAATTCCCAAATAAATCGTAGTATATACATGGTTGGCATGAGAAGTATATATGTAATGGAAATACAGAAACATTTATTTGTGAAAAAGTAAGCAGATTCGTGTTTATACCAGTTTTCTCGTGATCTACTGTTTTCATTAAATCAAAATAAAAATTCCTATTACTAAGAATGGAACACGTACAGAACAACTAAAAATAAGACGATTAAATAAAACATGCTTATAGTGGATTTTATTTGTTACACTAGGTGTAAGTTTTCTGCACTAATCGCATTTGATTTGTTTAGTGTACCTTCAAATATTTGATACGTACTTGAGTGAAGCATATACGTTTGACAAGTATGACAGTTCGAATACAGTGTCGAATGTAACACTAGTGCAACAAATAAAATCCATTATAACATCTTCATAACCTCTAAATTTTACGCCACTGTTCAAAAACTTATTTAGACTGTAATTTTAAATTTTTTGATGTTTTTTAAATAAATCATGTATTATTATTGGGAACTCATAAAGTGATTGATTTTAGAGATATTCACACATTGATAGCTGAAAATTCTTCATTTTAATTTATTTTGTAAATTTGGTTTTTTTTTTCTAAAATTATACTGAGCAAACGTTTTTGAAGTCACATACACATATCAGCAAAGAATCCGTTGAATAAAATTTACTAGTGGTGTACGTCATGGCTAAGTAACACCTTTATCCCTTCTAAATTTTACGCCACTCCCCAAAAACTTATTTGAACTATATTTTTAAATTTTTGATGCTTTTTTAAAAATCTAAAATTTAAAAAATAAATTAAAATGAGAGAATATTTTGGAAACCAATCGCTTTGAGTTCACTCTTGTTAGGAACCCATAAAGTGATTTATTTAAAAAATATTAAAAAAATTTATAATTATAGTCCAAATAGGTTTTCAGACGTAAAATTTAGAGGAGATGAAGATGTTACTTATCCATGCCGTCCGCCACTCTCAAAGTTTATTTGTTTTGCTGATAGGTGTATCTTATGACACAAAAAATGTTTGCCGAATTTAGTAAAATTATAATGAGGAATAAAAAAATTATAGCCATTAATAATTTTTGAATTTTCAACTTAAACACTCCGTATTTCGGAAACGAGTAATATTTTATTTAAGCATGTTTCGTTTCAATCGTCTTATTTTTAATCAGAAAATATTTAGTTGTTCTGTGTCCCATTCTTAATGAGAGACCCTGTATATACTCAATATTTTTTTATTAAAAACTATTTTTTAATCAAGCAACTGCTGTTTTTTACTATGGGAAACAGCATTTTAATTATTGAATAGTGGCCATTATCGGCGGAAGTAGGGCTGGGAAGGGGTTAGTTTAGCTCTTCCCCATGGTACTACGGTAGACCTGGACAGAGATTCTTGTGTGCAAACTCAACACGTTATGTGTTGAATAGAGAGAGACATTACATAAAAATCGCATTCTGTCGAACGAAGATACCCAGACAAGACACCAAATCCCAGAGATATCCACAGAATATCTTTCGTGGATATCCAATATATCCACAGGATGTCGGAAATATTCTGTGGATCTAATATGGATATCCAAATGTCCGTCTATATCCAGAATATAGAAGATATCCTAATGGATATTCACCAAAATATCTAATAGGTATCTTCCAGAAAATACAAGAAATCTCAGAGATATCCACAGAATATATTTTGTGGATATTCAATATATCCATCTAAATGTCCGTCTATATCCCAGGATATAGAAGATATTCGGATATTCAGCAAAATATTTTATGGGTATCTTTAGTAGAGGTTCATAAGTAACCAATAATTATTGAACAACGTCGAAAGAAAATAGCAGAGATAAAAAATATTTTCAACACTCAAAATATTTTCAACACTCTGCCTTTGATTTTGCCTACTAAGGAGAAAGTAATCCTTATTAGGATTCTTCAGCAATAAAGGAAAATTCTCGACTCCAGTCCCTAATGGAGTGATTAGTACACAAATTTCGATCGAACTCAATTACGGCGGGTCGAGCATGAGTAGATGCGATAGTGGTATCGCCATCTATACTTAGTAAGCAGAATCAAATAACATCTAGTGGATATCCACGATGGTTTGCGTTCGCGCCTAGACTTTGAAATATTTAGTGGATGTTCATGGGATATTGAATACACCTTAAAAAAATTAATTTTAAATATCTGAACGGTACTATTAGCCACAATGGCGTAATTTTTTAATAATTTGCTATATAATTACTATTATTTATGGACATTTGCATGTCTATAAATTACATTTCATGGATATAAAATAGATATCTACCATGGACTGGACATTCAGTGGATATTGGGATGTTCAGTAGATATCCAAAGGATTTGGTGTGCTGTCTGGGACAGTACTAATGGTTTTAGACATTTTTTTGGAGGATCACTTTTTATATTTACAAGGAAACAGTAAATTTTAATAAAACTATCTAAATCCAATTCAATTATACATTTTAAACCATAAAAGTTGTATAAGTTGTTAGCGTAACGGTTTAAGTGATGCGTTCCCGTTCAAGGTCCGGGGTTGAAATCCCGGCGAAGTCCAATTTTTTTTAGATTTATTTTGTATATTAGTAAACTTCATAAATTCAAATATTTATTAAGACACTTATAGTATCTTATAGTCAATACATAAGACAAAGAATTGCAAATATTTTGCCTAAGGGTGACAGTAGTTTATTCAAATTCGGATTGTTTCCACTCGTAGAATACCTAAATTTTCCTATTATAAATTTCTACGGATAATACAAGAAGTTTCCAATTCAAAAAGAATGAATACCTACGTTTCTTCTATTCCTACTTATACAAGGAAGTACCGATCGAATTGGTGTTATCATCTATGTACCTCAAAGCTGGCGCTAAAATTATTCGTATTCGTTGGGTCACAATACAGTATGGTAAACTAAAGACTGATCCACAAAAAATGTCTCTAAATTAGGCCATTACCGTTAAAACTACGCACAGATCTGAATTAAATCCAAACTGACGCAGAAATAGTATTGTGTATTTTTCTACCGCCTACTTTATAAATATTATTTTTGGATCACAGAATATATTTTTGGGAATATTGAAGCCGTAATTTTAGTGCCGGACCTGATTGCATGCATTGCCGTCTTAAAATCGATTTTTGGTTTTTAAAATACGCTTGTTGGTTTAAAAAGTTTGTATAAGGCGACAATTTGTGAATACAAAAGAAACATTTTTATTTCATCACAAATATTTTTACGAAAACAAGAATCGATATCAAATGATAGACAAAAGTTTAGTGAAAATAAAAATATATAAATCCAAAGCCGTTCTTCTTAATTTTTTTGAGAAATGATGTGTAAAAATATCAAGAATTCTGAATAACTGTATATAATTGAAACAAACTATTATATTTCATAATAAGCGAAACTGAAACGCAAAAAACTGAAAATTATTATGTCTTAATTCCTATGCCAAATTTGCAGCAGGCTAACTTTTTTTACTAACAAGTTAGGATTGCCAACATCGTTATTTTGACTCTGAGATTCCGGATTTGCTGATAATTCTTTGGTTTCAGGATTACTTTAATAGCTGCCATTTATATACCACTTGTGGTAAGACAATACAATATTAGTGTAGTAAAAACCATTTTTTTCTAATTTTGACATAAAGTGACATTTTTTGTAATCCCTGCAAGTGTCAAAATGATCATCTACTTTACGCAACTAGTTGCATAATGGTGAACATTATGAAACTGATTTCAAAAAATTTATTATTATGTCACCAGTTTCGAAAAGAAAAAAATAAACCTTTTTTTGGTTTTAAAATGATTAATATACCTACATTATTATTGAAAGTTTATATCAAAGAAGGGTAGGTTGACTTATAAAAAATAGAATTTGGTTGAACTTACAACCTAATAATAATGTTGTTTTGGTGCTTATTTTCTATTCTATCAGCACAAAATAATTAAAACACAATACACGACAAAATATCCCACTTTTTTGAAAACTAAATAACTTTAATAAGACATATAAACACACTACAAGTCGTTGAGAATAAATAATATTATGTTCTATTTGTCAATAAAATGATGCATATGCAACTACAATACAAGAAAGTAGTAATATTGATTGCCTAGATGTGAGTAATTTCTTACCAAAAAACAATTTTATAAATAATTAGTCAAAATTAGAAAAAATATTGTATGTAACACGTGTAGAAATGACGCTGCTAGACCTCGCTCTGCTCGTCCGGCAAATATTCACTCGTTACATAAAATAAGCCATTTCGTAACTTGTTTCATAAATAGCTATTATTATACACAATAGCAATCCCACATAAAGTCAATTCCACAACAAATTAATTTTATGTAGGATAACAAGTAGCGACAAATATATTAAAATTATTTTTCTCCGGGTCAATATCGACACAATGTTAGCAATCCTATAACAAGTAGAAAATAATTATGTATTTTCCTATCCTGTAGCGAGTGTGGATCACTCGTGTCTCTCCGGTGCCAGGCTGGCAAACTGATATTATATTTCCAAACTCGACTGAACTAATAACTTTTTTTAATTAAAATATCGTTAATAAATCTATATATTGCATATCTATCGAAAATAAAATTTCTTTATTTTTAAGTTATTCGTTCAGTTCAATTTTTCAAATAAATTAATTAATTGAAAATCAGCCAACCTTCTTCTAACTTATGTGTAAATTTCTGTAAATCTTTATAATATATATGTTGTTACAAGCTTCTCGTAATTTTTATTCACCCCCTGCTAAATTTTTAGTTTACATTTTTCATTGTCGAACGATTTGATTAAATAACTATTTGAACTATCGCTTTGTGGATCGGGCGGACCTATAATAGTGGCTCTCAGCTCTCATAATATGCCGATTGAGGATGCACAGTGAAGCCTTACAGAATACAGAGAAGTATTTGGACTTGTTTTTAACATAATCAAAACGTCAAATGAGAAGAAATTTTCAAATGCAAATAGCGAAAAATTTAAAATAAACACTATAATGTTTTTGCCTCACTCGCTTCATTATTAATATGGCCTTTATAGATGGGTCCGATCCATTACAATTTCTATGGTTAGCGCCTGATAATTAATAAAGTGAGACAAATTAGCGCCTGTTATTAATAAATTGTTCCAAATGGATGCTTCTCCGAAAAAGAAGTGCTTTACGAATCTCAAACTTTTTTGTTACATATATGACTCCAGTCAGAACAGGTTCGGTAATTCAGTAAGGTTTTTTTTTTATATTTTTTATTGTATAATTTTTTTTTTTAAGCAACCCGCGATGGATTCAGGCCGCACAGGTTAGGTAAATTAGTTATTTTTTTATTTTTTCATTTTGTATTATATTGGATTGTATTGTATTTTACGAACTTTAAAGTCAATTTTTGAAAATTATTTTTTAAATGAAGACAATTTTAATTTGTTTATAAATATAAAATCTACAATTAAAGAATTTTTCAATATTGATAATATTCTCGTGTTTTATCTTGTTAGTAACTGTACCGAAACTATTTGCAACACTGAAAATTGCAAGATCTTATAGGTTAGAAACATCAAAATATTCAGGTTTGGATTCAATCTTTCTTGGAAAATTGTCGGTTTCCCGCATTTTTTTATTAGTATAGGGCTATATATGGAATGAGTACTTTATTTATTTCTATTTATTCCTATTTATTTCTATTTATTCTTATTTATTCCTATTTTTTCCTATTTATTCCTATCGCCAACATTTTTCACATTTCCCCAATTTTCCCCATTTTCGTTCCTTCCCTCATTTCTTCTATTTTCCTTCTTTCCCTTATTTCCCCTCTTACCCCCATTTTCCCTCTTTCCCCTCTTAAAATATGAAAAACCAAAAACCTGAAACACACTATTATTTATTTGTGATGAGTAGCTATAATTCCACTTTTCAAGTTCCTACCTATAAAAAAATCGATGCTTCTATGCAAACTTTTAACCCCCGTTTCCCCCCTTAAAATGTAAAAAACCAGAAATCCTGAAACACGTCATTATTTATTTATTTATGCTCAGTAGCAGTATTTCAAATTTTCATGTTAGACTACCACTATGCAAAAAATTATGTCCTATCCCTTGCTATGTGAAAAACAAAAACAAATCGATCCCACGGGAACCGTACATTTTTTCGGGATGAAAAGTAGCCTATGTGCTATTCCAGACTAAAATCTATATTTGTGCCAAATTTCATCCAAATCCGTTCGGCCGTTCTTGCGTGATTGAGCAACAAACATCCATCCATCCAAACTTTCGCATTTAGGTATATATTTATATGATGATATGATTATGTTAAAATTCGTAACGATAATGTATTAAATTTAAAAAATAAGAAGAAACGTAAATTAATAACATTGCAGAACTAACTGTTTTGTTGTACATATTTGTATCAAATATTAGATAGATGGTGTTTATTGGGTAAGTATCTATTTAATCTTGTAATAATATATACATATTTATCTTAATCATTTCACGTTAAGAACATCTAATCCAAATCCTTTAATGGTTACTAGAAATAGCTAAATAAGTACATTTTCCCGAAATTTTAATGATTCCAACAATTTACTAATCATGACCATTTACCTGTAATAGAGCATTTTACATCTTCAAATAAATACTTAAAAACAAATTTAACTATAATCAACACTATAATCCTATATCCCTTGCTTTCAAATTATGTCGATAAACCGGCCTTCTATTTTCACAGTCAGCGGTGTTGCCAAATGTAATGCTCCGGCCTGTTAGGTAAAGAAGGCCATGGTTAAACGAAGTTTAAAATGATATTTTTACATTAAGGGTCGATTCCACCATTGTGTTAAACGGAGATTAAAATGACATTGTTAATGTAAAAATGTCATTTTAAACTCCGTTTAACACAACGGTGGAATCGGTTCTAAGATGACAGTTACTTATCTAGTTTATAATTATTCATCCGAGATCTGAGACCATAAATAACATAACCTGTGAATATACCCCATAAAATTAAAAAACAGAAAACGAAAAAACCACATTTTATTTGTTTTGCGGTTGTTTGTATGATTTGTGTGTATTTTCTGATAATTTGGAAGCTTTTGTTAAACTGCACCATACAAAAAATACTGTTACTGCAATAACACACATAATATACATAAGATGAGTGCTATTCAAAAATCCAAACACAAGTATTATAATAAAAATAAAAAGTTCACCAAACCGGGCCTAGACGTAAATTTAAAAGGATTCCTATGCAGCTGTAACAACAGAGAAAAAGAATGTGTGAGAGAGGCATACAATTTGCTAAATAAATATGCAGACATGGTTTTTCCACCTGAACCACCAAAAGAACAAGCTGAAGAAAACCTAGAAATGAGTATAGAAGATGAATTAAAAAAGGAACTATCTCAAATAAAGTCAGTGAAAAGATTTCAGCAAATAGAATCAGGTGCTAAAAATTTTCTCTTTATAAAAACTATATTAGATGACCCTGTAAAGTTAGCACAAACAATAGTTTCTGAGTTGAAATCTGATGGGTCCCAGCAGAGTCGTTTTTTAATTAGGCTAGTGCCTATTGAAGTCACATGCAAGGCTTATGTCAAAGACATCACTGTTGCTTTTATGCCTCTAGCAGAAAAATATTTTAAGGACAATCCAACCACCTTTTCTGTTGTTTACAATCATAGAAACAACAACAGTGTTAATAGGGATGAAGTAATACAAGCTGTGGCAGAACAAGTCTTTCAAGTCAACTCAAACAACAAAGTAGACTTGAAAATTCCAAATATATCCATAGTGATCGAAGTTATTAAAGGAATTGCTTTAATTGGTGTGGTACCAGATTTCATTAAATATAAAAAATACAATTTATTGTTGATTACTGAAAAGGATAGTGATAAAGGTGAAGGAGTTGATTTGCCAAGTGGAAGTGAAACTCAAGACACAAAATAATTTTTTATTAATATACAAAAATGTTAATATAAGTTTAAAAGTAAAAAGATTAGTTTCACAGCCCTATTTTATCCTCCATGCAAAGTTGATATGAAACCTATTGTATCTTTGGGTTGAATGACATAATCAGCACATCCCTAAAAATTATAAGTCAATGATTAACCCTCTCATGCAAGATACAAACAATTTACCAGTAGTTCCCAATCAGTATCATTGACTATAACTAAAATTCCTGGGCGCCTAAAACAAAAATGTACAATTTATTTTTATTTAACCAGTGAATATAAATCCTTACACAGATTTATCTTGAAGAAAAAGCTCAGGTCTTTCTTGTAGCAAATTATCTGTCATCCATAATAACAAGTCTCCAATGGTCCCTAAAAACAAACAAAATGATAATATCAATTCAAATTATAAGAATAAATCGCAACTTACAATGTTTCTCCCTATCTGGGAGGTCTATTTCATGTAACTTTATATTGCCAAAGAGGAGATGAACACCTCCACTACAAATTAAACAAAGAGTATTATTTAATAATAAAATTATGAAAATAATCCGTAAAATTACCCAAATTGAATAGTTATTTTCATATTTTGTATTTATTTTATTTTTTATTTTTATTTTTCTATGTATTTAACAAAGCATCTAGAAACGACAGCAGAACACCTATGCTATGTTCAAAAGTATATAAATAAGAAGAAAAATGACAATCACAATCAAATACCTTCATCAGGGTAGACAAGCAAAATTATAGAGGATACTGATGAACATTTCACACATATTTTTAATATTTAATTTAAATTAATTATACTTTTTTAGTACCTAAATTTAAGCGCTGACTTTACCGTTTGCAACGAGAATATTTTAGATAGAACTGTAAATTCGGTTCCAAATTTAGTAATTAATTGGCATTCCTCTATTTTCAAGTAAAATATTTATTGATCTGGCAACCCTGCATATATTTATAACCTTTATTCTAACCTAAAATAGAAACGAAAGAGAAAGAAGAATTATTATTATTTGTTGTTTTGGTTGTTCAAGTCATGTGTGTACATTCATTTTCAGTATACAATTACATGGTTTATTTTTAATTTTAGAAAGGTTTTATACTAATTTATTATATCCTAGTGATAAAAAAAGCTTTAAACATGGATGACGATTACGACGACAGACCCTGGGATGTTGGTGATCGAAATGATGACGTATGTATTAAACAATATTTTTTTCTAAAAGTTTACATATTTCTTGTATATAGTCTGATGCTGGAGATGATCCTGAAAATCCTGAACAAGTGTTGGCCGAATGCGCCGAGAAATTTTCAACTTCTGACTACATTATGGAACCTGGAATATTTTCGCAGTTAAAACGCTACTTTCAATCTGGTGGCAATCCATTACAAGTAATTGAAGAGTTATCCCAAAATTATACAGCAGTAGCACAAATGGCTAACTTAATAGCGGAATGGCTTATAATAGGAGGCAAGTAAAGCTTAATCTAAGGTGTAAATTATAAATATAAGTATGGTCTGTTGTAGGTGTTAAAGTTACAGATGTTCAAGCCATGGTAGAGAATCATTTAAAGGAAATGATTCTTAAAACTTTTGACCCAAAGAAAGCTGACACTATTTTCACTGAGGAGGGAGAAACTCCGGCTTGGTTAACGCAATTGATTGAGCATCCAACTTGGAGGTCTTTAATTTACAGATTAGCTGAAGAATATCCTGATTGTTTAATGTTGAATTTCACAATCAAGGTGAGGAGTTGTTATTAAAAATATTTATTTGTAACACCCTTATAAATTAATATTTTTTAGTTAATTTCTGATGCTGGTTTTCAAGGAGAAATCACCAGCATTTCGACAGCTGCTCAGCAACTTGAAGTGTTTTCTAGGGTGTTGAAAACATCCATAATGAGTTTTCTTACAAATCCGGAAGAGTGGCAAAATACTAGTAAAGAATGTGCAGTAAGTTATTAAGAGTTATTATTATTTATTTTTTCAGCTTTTTTTTTCTCCTCTCCTGGGCTCGTCTGACTATGTGTCTCCGAATAACACTGAAGCCTATTGGCTTATTGTGTTTTACCCCATGTTAGTTCATAGCACCCACTCTGTCACCTTTATACCTTGTACAAGTTTGTACAGATCCTTGGGTGAGCGGGTTCTATATGTTGTTGGATCAACCTGGGGTTGTCCAAAAAGAGCCTGTCTTTTGCGATCTAGAGCTTCGCATTCACACAGTATGTGTTTGGCCGTTTCTGGTTTCTTGTGACATAGTCGGCACATGAGTTCCCCATTGTACATGCCAATTTTGTTCAAGTGTCCCTTTACTGGGGCGTGCCCAGTCATGAACCCTGTTATCACTTTCAACTGGTTCCTATTCATTGAGAGTAGTTCTCTAATTCTTTTGGGACATGGTCTGCCTATGAAGGCTTTTCCATGTGTGTGTTTTGGGGTGTTTCCCCAATAGTTGATATGTTGTTCCCGAATCCAGTCGTTTATGAAACCCCGGACTGTACTTTTTGGTACTCCTGGGTTTGTGTCTGGTTCCGGTGTTTCTTCTGACTCTCTTTTTCAAGTTCGTCAGCCTTTTCGTTGCCTTCGATCCCTTGGTGACCTGGCACCCAAAATAGTTTTACTCTATTTCTGTCTGCCAGTGTTCTTAGTTCTTCGATGCATTCCCATACCAGCCTCGACGTAACTTTCTGACTCGATATGGCCTTAAGTGCTGCTTGACTGTCTGACATTATTTGAATATGCTGATTTTCGCCAGTTCATTCATTGTTCGTTTTTGCACATTGCAAAATTGTGTATACATCGGCCTGAAATACTGAGGAATGTATTTCTATAGCATAGCTATGGTTAGTATCAGGGTTTTTGGAGAATACTCCTGCCCCAGTGCCTTCCGCAGTCTTACACCCGTCTGTATACCAGTTTTGTTCCTGTCGTTGGGCATTGGGCTCCCTTATGGTGATCTCCTCTCTTTCCTGTATTAAAACCTCAAATGGAGTATTAAAAGAGTACCTCTTGGTTATGTGGTCTGATCTCATGTCTAGCACGTCTCCTGTCACTAACCTTGAGATACTCATGTGACCTGGCCTAATGTCAAGATTTCCCAGTGTATTCCCTAATCTGTAAGCACCTAATCTTGCCTCCCCTTGTATCACATAGTGAAGAGGTGGGAGTCCTATTAGTGCTTCCATTGCAGCAGTGGGGGTTGTTTTCATTGCCCCCGTTATTCCGAGGCAGGCAAGTCTTTGTACCTTGCTTAGCCTCGTTATTGCTTTCCTTTGCTGTGTCTTTGGCCACCACTCCAAAGCTCTGCGTATGTTTTTATCGGTCTCACCACCATGTTATAAAGCCAATATACCATGTCTTGTTTTAACCCCCATTTTTTCCAAAGGATCGCCTTGCCATCATTAATGAGGTTTCCGCTCTCCTTGTGGTTCTTTCTAGATGCTGGTTCCAGGTAAGTCTCGAGTCAATAATAACTACGAGATATTTTACCTCCCCCTTAAGCTGGATGCTTGCACCTCTTAGGTTTAGAGGCCCTAGTCCCTCCAATTTCCTCCTGCGGGTGAATGCAATTATGTCAGATTTGTTTGGGCTAATGTTTAGTCCTTCCGCCTCTGTCCATTTTCTTACTCTATTTAGAGCCTCTTGCATTCGATCTCTTACTATAGTATTATATTTTCCCTATGCCATGATCACTAGATCATCGGCATAGCCCAGGGTTCTGTCCCTTATCTTTGAGAGCCCTAAGCCCGTCCACTACAAGGTTCCACAGGAGTGGAGGCAGCACTCCACCCTGTGGACATCCTCTCGCTACCCGTGCCGCTATTGTCTCTCCCATAAGGGTTGTGTGTATAGTTCTCTCCCTTAACATAGAGTCGATCCAGGACACGCATGTGTCCTCGATTCCTCTGTGTTTGAGAGATCTAATGATTGATTCAACGGAGGTATTGTCAAAAGCACCCTCGATATCCAAGAATGCTCCCAGCATTACCTCCTTGTTTTCCAGTGTGTTCTCCACCCTTTTTATTAATTAATGGAGAGCTGTTTCAGTTGATTTCCCTGCACTATAGGCGTATTGGTCTTGGTATATTGGCCTCTGAACCAATATCCTGTCTCTAATATGCCTATCTAGCAGTTTTTCCAAAGTCTTAAGTACAAAGGACATAAGACTTACTGGTCTTAGGGACTTTGCCGTTTCCTGTCCCATTTTCTCAGGTTTTGGTATAAAAGTTACCCTAATATTTCTCCAAGCTTTTGGTATATGTCCAAAGGCCAGGCTACTTCTGAGTATGTTACAGAGTCTGCTGTATAAAATATTTTCAGCCTAGTATCTATGAAATTTTACTTTCGGTACATTTGCATTACCGTATTTAAAGGATTAAAATGATTTTTTATTTTCATTTTAATGTATTGCAATTCCCAATAAGTTTTTACGAAAATTAACTTTCAGTACATTTGAACTACCGTTTTAATTATTGTCTGATACAAATGAACTACTGTATTTAAAATATTAAAATGTTTTTTTGCCTTTTTAGCTTAGTGCATTCCAATTTCTAATAAGTTTTTTTGGGAAAATTAATTTTTGTTACATTTTAATTTGTGCCAGATATGCAATTGAACCTTTTTAGAGCTTAGTTTCATTAGTTTTTTTTCTCTCTGTGTAATCTACATAATAATAGTTTTCAAATGTTATGGGAGCATTAAGTGTGATTAAAATGGAACATTATTAAAATGAGAAAAACCAAACATGGTAGATTTTCACATACACTTTTTTTTTAAATAAAAATTATGACAATTTTTATATTTTAAATTAAAGTGTTTGTGAAAATCTACCATGTTTGGTTTTTCTCATTTAAAGAACATAGAAGAAGAATCTTTATTTAACTAGGACACCCTAATATACATATAAGATAAAAAAAGTATTTTAAATCTAACATTCGAAAATACATATTAATTAAAACCCTTGGATAAACTTATTTTTCGGTTTATTATTTTCGTATTGGCGTTTTAAATATGTAGTAAGTTTATTTGAATTAATGTTTTTATTGAGACACTGAATGTACTCTTTAACATAGAGAAAACGTTTTAGACACTTAATTTTATTACTTTTTAAAATGATGGAGCTGTCAAACTAAATGATGGAAAAAGTAAAACAAATGACTATCGCCAATGTTACAGTGTTATAATTATTGAGGTAGTATTATAGGGAGACGCAATCACGTGGTCAAAAGCGACATCAGTCCGCCATATTGATGTGATTTGTAGGATCAAGTTTTTGTATATTTGCTTTTTGTGTGATATTACAGTGAAAGATAATAATGATTTCATGTGGTCTCCTTAAATGCAGTTGATGAAATGAAATTTACAGAAATAACAGTTCATAGTTCATAGTATACAAAAGAATAATCATAAACAGGGTAATATTTGAAAAATTGATTTTTAAATTTCTGGGTTAAAACATTGTATGGTAATTGTTTCATATACTTACGGTTTTCTGTTAATTTGTTATTCTTGAGGAAGTCCAGAGTGTAATATTTCCTATAGAACACAAAAATGGCAGGAAACCGCAATAACAAATAATGTCCAAATAACAAATGTTTTTCTTTTAGATTTCCTAAAGAAGAAAATTCTGATAGTGAATTGAATTAATTAATTAACAGGGATTATGATTATTTGCCAGACCCTATGTCGGAAAATATTATTGCCTATATAGTGGAATATATTGTCCATTTTTTTTAAGAAAACGTATTTTATTTTGTACGTATATTTGCTTTGACAAGTGACACGAGGGATTTGCATCTATTTTCTTTTATATTTAGATAAAAAAAGTAAAAGTGGGCTACAATATCATTCAACAAATATTCAAAGCGAAACAGTTTAAAAAAAATACTGTATCATATAAGCAAATATCAGCAGCATCTTTAGTCAATATAATCCTTATACAAATTGTAAATAGAAATATTTTTTTAAATTTACTAGTTATGGATAACCATTGGGTATTGTCAATAAAAGCTGTGTCAGATAAATATGTAAATGTTAGGCTATATTATTTAGCCAAACAAAAATAAAATAAATCTGAGAGCATAATGCCTTACAGTAATAAGATAGTTTGGTTAAAAGCCCAATACATTTCTCTGTTTTAAGAACGTTATTATTTTCTTTTTTCCCATTTTATTTTGTTTCAATCTTTAAAAAACACTTTGTATATTCATATGACACTAGTTGAAAAAAAAATATATATATATATATATTATTCAAAATATATTTAAATTCTTATAATTTTAGAGAGTCAGGACCTGGTGAGGCATCCATACTGTTACGACTCTAAGCCACACCTAGTGCGACGTTTTATTTATGTGCGAAATAATGCTTGTATCCTCTTCTTTATAATACTACCTCAATGGTTATAATGAAAACCCCATATTTTTACGTATCACAATAAGTGTAAAATTGCAAATTTTTTAAGGATGGTCATAGATAAACATGATTTTTATGCTTTTTAACAAATTTGCAGAAAATGGTATGCCATGGTCAACACACTTACGTGTACAGTCAAGTTATCATTCACATTTTGGCTCGTGAATCAAAAGGCGGAAGTAGCATGAAAAGATTGTCTCAAGAGATCACGAAATGTGCCCAAAAAAAGTAACGACTTGTTATTGAAATAAATATATATAATTATATACAAATTTAATGTCTTTTTTTAGTGGAAATGATGTTACACCTATTACAATGGCTTTAAATGGGGCTTCAGGTTACCCAACCGCTTGTCAGGCTCTTACTGCTATGTTATCAAAAAACACTCTTAATCCTGCAGACATTACAGTTCTTTATAGAAATTATACTGGCGAAGATCCCCCACCTATCGATCTAATCAGAACGCCGCAGTTTTTAGGCAAGTATTTAAAAAAAAATGTGAAAACAATATATGATTATTATATTTTTTTCTTAGAATTATTGATCGACTCCTTATTCAAACCCGGAGTCAAGCTGAATCCAGACTACAAACCGAAATACATACATCTGTTGGCGTACGCTTCTAGCGTATCGGAAGTTCAACAAAAGAAGGGCCAAAAGAGGATTTCGAATAAAGATGAGCTCCAAGCGACAGTACGCGCCATCGAAACGGTGCACAATATTTGTAACGGAAACAAAGGGAGTTCTGAACTGATTGCAGAACTGTCGACCATTTACCAGTCTCTCAAGTGCGTCTAAATACGTTTTAAATGTATTGGGTGGTCCAATATGAATGGTTTTAGGTGATATATTAGGAACCGTTTATAGTTAAACAGCTTCTAAGAAAAAAATGTCAATGAGTAAAGTGGCTACAAGAAAAACGGTTAATTAGAGAATCGTGATACTATTTGGCATAACTGAATACTCGAAAACTAATGAAATCATATTCCTGAGTAGTTCACCAGTTTAAATATTGTTATATTTCAAGTTTTATACCAGAAAATAACATAACAGACGTTAAAATATTGACGGCCTTTAGAAATATTTTCTTATTCGCTAATGTCTGTCAATATTTAAACGAATTCCTTTAAAATAGTGGCGTTTTATGATGTAATTAGAGAAGTTTTGATTGAAGAATTATTGGAAAATAAAGAAATGTATGGAGTACATAACATTTTTAATGAAAGGCCATTACATTTAATATTACGGGGCAGAATTTAGATTACATCAAAGGTCAATTAGGGACCCATTGTAGCTTTTAAAAACATTTTTCGCTTTAATAAAGATGTGGCCAGAATTATAATAAACCTTTCCTCAATTCGGAAAATAAAATAAATAAAATTGGATTTCAGAAAATAGTTTCTTATAAATTGATTTTGGAGAATAATAAATTTAACCAGAAAAACTTAACCAGTAGAGAAAATTAGCCACGGCGAAAATATGCAGAATTTTCTGAAAATTAATTTTTAAAGGCATTATTTTGATAAATTTTGAATAAAATAAGCATTTTATGCTTTATTATTCAGTTACGCCATCTAGCGATAGTTCTAACAATTCTTTAAATAATTTACGGGTTTTCTACGTGGCCATGTTAGTTATAGAAATGTTTTCCCTCGAAATTGTACTATAAATGCTTCTTGAAATATAGCCGAACCCCATTCTTCTTAGCCCACCCGGCACATTCGTGTTTAATCAAAAACAAATAATTTACTGAAATACGTTTTTTAGATTCCCAGTGGTATCGGTAGGCATCATCAGATGGGTGGAATGCACGGTAACGGAGCCTAGTTATTTCAAATTATGCACAGAACACACTCCCATCCATCTGGCGCTATTAGACGAAGTCGTAACTCTGCATCCGCTACTCCACAATCAAGTTTTAACGTTGTTGATTAAGCTGTTCGAGTCCAAGCAAGACGAACTCGAAATCTTAGTCCAGGTGAGGTTTGAAAAGTAAAAGATTAAAAATGATTTTTGTCCGTTCAGCTTAGTGTATTTCCGATTCCCAATAAGTTTCGACGAAATTTAAGTTTCGGTACATTTGAACTACTGTTTTAATTAATGCCTGATACAATTGAATTATTGTTACAAATGATTTTTGTCCTTTCAGCTTAGTGTATTTCCGATTCTCAATAAGTTGTGATGAAATTTAATTTTCAGTACATTTGAACTACTGTTTTAATTTATACCTGATACAATTAAATTACTGTTAAAAAAAAATGAAATTTTTTTCCTTTCAGCTTAGGTCCGTATTTATAAGCAGATCTAAGCCAAGTCCGACTCAGCTGAGTTCTCTTTATAAATACGGACCTTAGTGTATTTTCGATTCCCATTAGGTTCCGATAAAATTTAATTTTAGGTATATTTGAACTACTGTTTTAATTTATGCCTGATACAATTGTATTTTTTTTTAAATTATTTTTGCATTTTTAGCTTGATCCATAAACTAAACTTTATGAAATTTTACTTTCGGTACATTTGAACTACTTATTTAAAATCTGTCTTTTCATCTTAGTGTATCCAAATTCCAACCAGTTTTAAGAAAAATTAACTTCGATACATTTTTACTACTGTTTTAATCTCTGATACAGAATGGATATTCTATTTAAAAGATTAAAAATAATTTTTCACATTTTCAACTTAGTGCTTTCCAATAACTTTTGATGAAATTTAACTTCCGTTACATTTGAACCACTTTTTTTTATATTAAAAATGATTTTTGTCTTTTCTCCAACTACATTTTAAAAATAATTTCCTCAAAAACAGATTGTATTCTCCTAACCTTTTGTGTAATGAAAATATTCAGGAATTTATATTATACTAGCTATTGCCCGCGGCTTTGCTCGCATATTGTGTTATTAATATAAAAAAATACATGACTTCCTTTTTTAATAATTTTTATTAGTTTTATTGATTTTCATTCATTTTTTTCATTTTTTATTTTTATTCATTTGTATTCATTTGTATTCATTTGTATTCATTTGAATTCATTTTTATTTATGTTTATTTATTTTTATTCATTTTAAATTTTTTATTAATTTTTATTAATTTTTTTAAATTTTTATTAATTTTTATTATTTTTTATTAATTTTTATTAATTTTTATTAATTTTTTAATAATTTTTATTAATTTTAATTAATTTTTATTAATTTTTATTACTTTTTATTAAATTTTATTAATTTTTTTTAATTTTTATTAATTTTTGTTAATTTTTATTAATTTTTAATAATTTTTATTAATTAATTTTAATTAATTTTAATAATTTTTATTAATTTTTATTAATTTTTACTAATTTTTATTAAATTTTATTAATTTTTAATAATTTTTCTTAATTTTAATTAATTTTTATTACTTTTTATTAATTTTTGTTAATTTTTATTAATTTTGATTAATTTTTCTTAATTTTAATTAATTTTTGTTACTTTTTATTAAATTTTATTTTTTTTTAATTTTTATTAATTAATTTTTATTAATTTTTACTAATTTTTATTAAATTTTATTTATTTTTATTAATTTTTAATAATTTTTACTAATTTTAATTACTTTTTGTTAATTTTTAATAATTTTCACCCCCGTTTCCCCCCCTTAAAATGTGAAAATTCAAAAACCATGAAACATTTCATTATTTATTTATGATGAGAACCTACAATTCCAATTTTCAAGTTCCTACCTTTAAAAAAAAAAACGATATTTCCAAATAAACTTTCACTCCCCCCCCCCTAAAATGTGAAAATCCAAAAACCCTAAAACACGACATTAATTTTTACTCATTAGCTGCAATTCCAATTTTCATGTTTCTAATTTCAAAGAGAACAAAAAAGTTATACTCTCATACAAACTTTTGCCCCCGTTTGTCCCCTCAAGATGTAAAAATATAAAAACCCTAAAACACATTATTATTAATTTGTACTCAGTAGCTGCAATTCCAATTTTCATGTTTTTAACTTTAAAGAGAACCAAAAACATGGATACTCCCAAATTAATTTTCTCCCCCCATTTCCCCCCTTAAAATGTGAAAATCCAAAAACCCTGAAACACGTCATTAATAATTTGTAGTCAGTAGCTGCAATTCCAATTTTCATGTTTCTAACTTCATAGAGAACAAAAAAAATCGATAGTCCCTTACAAACTTTCACCCCCCGTTTTCCCCCCTTAAAATTTAAAAAATCCAAAAACCCTGAAACAAGTCATTATTTATTTATGCTCAGTAGCTGTAATTTAAATTTTCATGTTTCTAACTGTAAAGAACAAAGAGTTTCATTAAAAGCTTCCTCCTCCCATTTCCCCCCTTTAAAGTTAAAATTTCCAAAAATGCTTTCTTAGCGGATGCTTACGTTATAAAATAAACCTATATTCTAAATTTCAGCTTTCTAGGCTCAGTAGTTTAGGCAGTACGCTGATAGGTCAGTCAGTCAGTCAAGACAAACAATTTTATATATACAGGGTGATTTTTTGAAAAGGATCCACCCTCGATAACTTCGTTCTCGTCTTGATTCAGGTAAAATCCAAAAACAGGTCAATTTTTATCCTTAGGGGGACACATTTTTAGGTCACAACTGATTTTGTCGGATCAACCCCATGGCCCCACCTCAGAAACCTTCAAAATAGAAGGGGGACCGAGTGACCCCTCGTTGGAAAGGTTTTTGCATTTACCATATGACCATGTAAGAATTATTTCGTTTTGGTGGTTCAAGAAAAAAGACAAATTGCAATAAATAGACTTAAATTACATACTCGTACATCATAATAGATTCTTAAAATGACCACCGTTGAGAATAATAGGAATCCTTCCTCATTCAACAATTTATCTCCTGTCGTAAATTCACTTAAAATTTTTGCTTCAGTTTTTGAAGACGGTTGAGTGATATCGCGCTGTCGCTCTTTTCGTATGCATTTTTATCTGCAATTTTTGCGCATCTTTACAAGCCGTTTTGACGGATTAGATTTAATCCAAGTAGTTTGCAGTCAGTTGGTATGTCAATTGATTTATTCCCTGTAAAATGGTTTACACTATTGCCGAGCGGGTAGAAGTTATTTTCATTTATGGTGAGGAGCAGAATTGTGCCCGCGCCACTGCCAGAGTTATTAATGCGAGACATCCAGATAAGCGAATGGAGCACAAATATGTCACGCAACTTGTGCGGAAGTTTCAAGCAACAGGATCGGTGAAAAATATGAAGAGAGAAGGTAACAGAATAGTTAATGAAATGGCTCAGATTGAAGTGGTGGGGAACTTTACTTTCCATCCAACCAGTTCTTTGCGTCAGATTGCTACAACCACTGGACTTTCGTATTCATCGGTACGCAAAGTGACAAAACTTTTTAAAGTCCATCCCTATAAAATGAAGATACTTCAGGACGATGATCCTGATAGGAGATTACAGTTTTGCGAAATTATGACGGAAATGATAAACGCGAACCCAAACCTCATAAAAAAACATTTGCTTTAGTGACGAATGTAGTTTTTATCTGCATGGCGCAGTCAATAAACAGAATGTCCGATATTGGAGTGAAGAGAATCCTCACATTTTTAGAGAGGGGCATACTCCAGCTCCTCAGTAATTAAATGTATGGGCAGGAATACTAGGCGATGCGGTAGTCTGTCCGATTTTCATTAATGAGACTTTGACTGGCGAGGTATATTTAGAGCTGCTGGAGGATATCTTAGATCCCTTGATAACGGTTGAAGTTGAAAATCAGCGGGATCAAGATGGAAATCTTGTACTTGAAGAAAATGAGCTTTTTTTTCAGCAAGATGGAGCCCCACCTCACTTCGCTGTGAATGTTCGGAACTGGCTGAATCAGAGATTTCCGCATCATTGGATTGGCATGCGGGGAGCAATAGAATGGCCTCCACGGTCACCAGATTTGACAGGACCAGATTTTTTCCTCTGGGGGCACCTAAAATCTGTTGTCTTCAAAAGTCAACCAGCAGATTTAGTGGAGTTGCAACAACGAATAACTGACGCATGCAGAAGAATCCCTAGAGAAACCTTTCAACAGGTGAGAGAGGAATTTGAAAACCGCCTTTACTACTGCATGGAGAATTGGGCACTTGTTGTGATTTCGCTTCCTTTCACTCTAATCCGTTTCTTCTCGTTTTGTAAACAATTAATACGATTTTTATTCCAAAAATTAACCAATTAAAGCGAAATGTAAATCTATTTATTGCAATTTGTCTTTTTTCTTGAACCACCCTGTACAAAACGAAATAATTCTTACATGGTCGTATGGTAAATGCAAAAACCTTTCCAACGAGGGGTCACTCGGCCGCCCTTGCTATTGAAGGTATTTGAGGTGGGGGCTGGTGAGGCCATGGGGTTGATCCGACAAAATCAGTTGTGATCTAAAAATATGTCCCCCTAAGGATAAAAATTGACCTGTTTTTGGATTTTACCTGAATCAAGACGAGAACGAAGTTATCGAGGGTGGACCCTTTTCAAAAAATCACCCTGTATATAGATTACCTAAGTAAAACTACATTAAGAATTTCAAATATCCTATTTGGTTCCACACAAGTGATCTAAATTAAAAATTTAAAAAAACAGACTTCAAAAACGTGCAGATGCCGTCACCACATCTTATCCAAATTTATATGTGGCCACCCCTGCAGTACCCCCTTTCTAACAAAAAAAGAATTATTGAAATCGGCCACCGTGTTAAAGAATTATCGTTGAACATACATAAAAAATATATCGCGACGAATTGATAACCTCCTCCTTTTTTGAAGTCAGTTAAAAAGAAGGTTTAACCTGCCAAATCTAATGACATGGAACAATGTAGAATTAAGTGATCCCAATGCCAAAGACATATCTAATGTTTTTATAAGCTATCTTCAAACAAGCAATTCATGCGACAATACCGATCTCACAATAGACTCATCACAGTTTTTTTTATTTAACCCTATCCTTGCACACATTAACTGTTGAAATTAATGACTTGGGTGTGGTCAAGAATACAATAAGTTTTACTCGGAGTGCAACATTTTCAGTATAAAATTAGCAGCCCTTAAGAGAACTGTCGAATTTCATTGCGAGTGACTTTGTGCCTCATTTTTTCTGTTTTTAATGTACCTCTTTAATTTATATTTTTATTCTGGTCTTAATTTTACTTTGGTTTTAGCTTTGTATACTACTTAGGAAATGTTCTTCCTGTAACGTAAGATCCAAATTAAATAAATTGAATTTTTGTAGTAATTTTGAACTACCGTATTTAAATGATTAAAACTTAGTTTTGTCTCTTCAGTTTAGCGAATTTCAATTCCCATTAACGTGTTTTTGTTTCTAGCTCGAAATGAGGAAAATGGTTCTGGACAGAATGGTGAATCTGCTGTGCTCGGGTTGCGTGGTACCGGTCGTCAAATATATAAAGCAGTGTTGGCAAAGAGGCGATACCGATATATCTTTGATTAGATATTTCGTGACAGAGGTATATTAATTATATATTTAAAGTAAAACAAAACATTTTTTGTTATTATTCGGCAGGTATTAGAAACTATTGGACCACCGTATAGCTCGGAATTCGTACATTTATTTATGCCCATGGTTGAGAATGACGAAATAACTGGAACAATGAGGGGAGATGGAGAAAATGATCCAGTATCCGAATTTATTGGTAAATATTGCAATTTTTTATCTGTTTTGTATAACTCGATTGAATATATATTTTTTTAGTTTATTGCAAAGCCAATTACACCACTGTAATATAGAAAATATGGTGCTCTATATACTTTCATTTGCAAGAAATTCGGACCAGGTTCGTTTTGTACAAGAGAATTCAAACAGGAAGATTTCTATTCGATTAAAATGGACGGCAGAAAGGAAATAAGAAAAACCACGAAATAACTTCTAGGAATTTAATGTCTTAATTCATTTTATAAATACAACAAAAATAAACGATTCAGTGACTAAATTCATCGTTATTATTATCATCGTCATCCGATTTTCCTGAAACATAATTTTAATTTTCACAACCTATCAATCTATAACGTAAGCTTTTCTAATTGTGCGCATTTATACATTTTATGCCTTATACAGAGTGTTTTAAAAAGATACATAGTTTATTTGATAATGCATAAGTTGCTTTCAACATTGAAGGAAGAATCCCAGGATTAAGAAATAAGGATAGATGCAGTAGACAGAATATATCATGGCATTGGACGCAAGGCGCTAGTTCAGTGATGATGTAATTATAGTTCCACTGACAATTAAAGTGACAGTAGATTTTTTGAGTGCGTTTTGTTCGTTTTGTTTACCTAAATTATATTGTTTTTTTAACTTTTATAAATATATTCCTAAAGTAAGCAGATAGCATGTATCAAATATACAATCGTTTAGTTACTAATTGCATACCTTTAAACTATTTTTTATGACCTGTAAACAATATTTTGAAATAAAATAAAAACAGTAAAAACGTATATGTCAAATTTATTGATGTTTTTGTTAAAAGTTTGGTTAGAATTAAATGTCAGTGGAACCAAAATGACATCACACTGAACTAGCGCAGTGTGAGTAGAGGCAAATTGTCTGCGTGGCAACAACAAATTAGGGATATGTGGCCTAGTGAGAAAATTGGCTACCTAACTCCGAAAATATCGATCTGAGATAATCGCGGTTGAAGTTTGTAAGAAAATTATTTTTTTGCTACATGTTTCGAACTATCACACCGATTTTTTTTCTCTAAATTTTAAATATCTAAGTCATAATGTAACAAGTTTTTTTTTTAAGTATGAATATTAACGATGTTACATTCGTCAGTATTACGTTCGAAGGTGAAAATAAAAATACCAGACATTACTGACGACTATATCGCCACCGAGCGGACAGTAGAACTATAATTTCGACAGTTATGCACCAGTTACGAGCTACATTAAGCAATATTTTGAAGTACATAAGTCAAAAACGAGTATTTTCGAGTTACGTCACTAATGTTCTCACTAAACGAATGTCGGCGAAGTACAATCGGTACAGCAAATTGGTACCCAGACAGCACACCAAATCCTTTGGATATCTACTGAACATCCCAATATCCACTGAATATCCAGTCCATGGTAGATATCTATTTTATATCCATGAAATGTAATTTATAGACATGCAAATGTCCATAAATAATAGTAATTATAGCAAATTATTAAAAAATTACGCCATTGTGGCTAATAGTACCGTTCAGATATTTAAAATTAATTTTTTTAAGGTGTATTCAATATCCCATGAACATCCACTAAATATATCAAAGTCTAGGCGCGAACGCAAACCATCGTGGATATCCACTAGATGTTATTTGATTCTGCTTACTAAGTATAGATGGCGATACCACTATCGCATCTACTCATGCTCGACCCGCCGTAATTGAGTTCGATCGAAATGTGTGTCCTAACCACTCCATTAGAGACTGGAGTCGAGAATTTTCATTTATTGCTGAAGAGTCCTAATAAGGATGACTTTCTGCTTAGTGGGCAAAATCAAAGGCAGAGTGTTGAACATATTTTTTATCTCTGCTATTTTCTTTCGACGTTATTCAATAATCATTGGTTACTTATGAACCTCTACTAAAGATACCCATAAAATATTTTGCTGAATATCCGAATATCTTCTATATCCTGGGATATAGACGGACATTTGGTTGGATATCCATATAGGATATATTGAATATCCACAAAATATATTCTGTGTATATCTCTGTGATTTCTTGTATTTTCTGGAAGATACCCATTAGATATTTTGCTGAATATCCATTAGGATATCTTCTATATCCTGGATATAGACGGACATTTGGATATCCTTATTAGATCCACGGAATATTTCTGATATCCTGTGGATATATTGGATATCCACAAAAGATATTCTGCGGATATCTCTGGGATTTGGTGTGTTGTCTGGGTATTTCTTTGCGTTTTTTAGAAATTGTGATACGATTTATGAATTTTATTTTCAAATTAAATATACCATTTAAGTAAGTATTCTTTTAGTTGTTTTAAAATTTGTTTTATTATTATTACATCAAAACAGTGCTAAATTCATTTCTCACCAAAGTATTAATGGGTAATTGTCATTATACTCTATTTTTCTCACATTTATCGCATAAACAAAGTAAATATAATTCTTCGGTATCCAAAGAGATTTAAATTATTCCTAATCATCTTTATCTGTAACGTGTGGAGGGTGAGTTACCCCACCTCACTTAGGCCCATTGTGCAGCCTATTCCCAATCATTACTAGATAAATCAAACCATAAGCAATTTGAATGTCGTTAAGTGATAACTAAGTAACAAACATAATAAATAAATAATTAAAATACAAAACGGACATTTTAATCGGTCGCAATGAAAACTTGTTTCACACAGAGTAAGATAGCTGCCTCCTTTACTCTCGTGTTTTCTCTCTCTCTGGCCAGCCACGAGAAACTCTGTCTACTGTATATCCTATACACTACTAGTGTTGTGTAATTCGTGTTTCATTGACAGTTAACTTTGAACAAAAACCATTCTGTCATTGAATTTGAAACATACGGTTTTAGTTTTTTAAAATATTTGAAGATCGTAAATAAAGTAGTTTAAAGGTATGTAACCAAATTATTTTTAATGATTAAATTAATACCAACAACCTCTATTTTTACAAGTCTATTGTCAATGTCAGTGAAACACAAATTACGTCTTCATTAATATAGCGTATAGTGGAATTTTATCTTAAGGCAATCGATGAGATTTATGAAAAGCAATACACAATGTCATTATTATACATTATGGTCAAATAACCAATCAGAAGCTGGCATTTAGGCGCGGATAATTTAAATCGCTCCACCCAGTTTAAAAATGAAGTATGTATAGAATTTATTAGTCTAATTGTAGGCTATTAATTCCTAAATACCCAACCATGATTTGCTCTGGTTTTAAACAGACGTCAAAATAACTAACTTGTGCTACATTTTTTGGAGTAAGTCTTAGATTATACAAACCGTAGATAATAATAATAATAAAAATAATACTCTCTCCAATTCACCCCCTTACGAGTGAATTTTAACCTCAAAAGCTGAGCTTGTCAAAGGAAAGGGATTATTATTATTTGCCGTGGCGACTTAAAGATGAATGATGGTGCCATATCAACAGAAATTAAATTTCTGCTAATATGGCATCCATCAAATCCTACCCAGCAAACATTTTCTATAACATTAGTTATAACTCGACTTTGTTAAAGACGAATTTACTTATTAAGGTAATTATTACGTAAAATTGACTAGAAAAATATACCTCTAAAGTAAATTTACCAAACGGTTTTAATTTATATTTAAATTTACGTAAATTATACCAAAAAATCTACCTTTTACACAAATCTGCTTAAAAGTAACTTTAACCATATCAGCAAGGGAAAAACTACTAAAAAAATAACCAACAATTACTTCAAAGTTAAATTTCCTTTGTAGTAAAATTAGGTGCCATATTTAGGTAATATCTACCTGTTTGGCAACTAAAAATCGTCTTTATAGTAGAATATCCAACTAGGTAGATTTAGTTAAAAATTCTACGTAATTTTATGCCTCCATAGTAATCTATTTGGCCGCTTTTATTTACTCTCCTTTAAAGTAATATTAGGTCGAGATCGTAGCAAAATTCTACCTGTTTATCTACCTAATTTCAACCAAATAGTCGAATACTCATTTAGTTGACCTATAAGTCATCTTGAAGAAACATTTATTAACTTTGTTGTAGCAATTACCTGAAAAATCTACCACAAAGTAAATTCGACTAAAAACCACCAATTTAAAAAGAGCCATACATGACCTATTTGTAAAATTTATATTATTTAGGTTATTTTAACAATTAGGCTGTTCAGTTACTGTCTTCGTCATTATTCTTAAGAATTTCGGCCATTTTAAAAAAACCATTACAGTCGTAATCTTAATTTACGTGTGGTGTAGATAGAGCTTTAAATGAGTGTGAAAAATAATTAATAAAATGAGTTCGAAAAATAATAAATCATATCGTTATACTTCCGATTTTTATCGTAAAGTGAAACGTCTAAAATCTCAAGTGCAGAACAACGTGACCTAAATATGTTATATCTACCTATAGGTAAATTTTTTATAAAACCTATAAGTTATTATTTCTTTAAATAGGTAAAGTTAACTAATATGTCGTGAAATTGAAGTTAATTCAACTTAATAAAAAGGTATTTGTAAAATACGTAGATTTCCTTAGTCATAATAACTTTTAGGTCGAATTCGCACAATACGCCATATTTTCTTAACGTAATTGAAGTACGATTCCAAATTTTAAATTTTTAAAATGACCATAACTAGAACATACGAATGAAAATACCGAAAAACGAAACATTATTGATTTTCTAAAGTGATACACAACAAACGTAACATAGTTTTAGCTCATAATATTATTATTATTTTTTTACACGATCATATTTTTTTCTTATATTTTTTTAATTAGAGAGTATTTTGGAAGGGCATTGTTATTTTTCAGAACATTATTAATTTCAAAAAGCGTGAACTGTATATTCACCGCAATTACATTACATATATTTTTGTCACTGACATTTATTTATTTTCAATCTTTCATGTGAATTAGGTATATGTTTTAGTTGTGTTGGTGACTTCTTACAATATTTCTACTTATATATAGATAAAAATACCAAATAAGTATAAAATTTCTTTTCGTACACTTGGAGGCATAAGTCATCTGCAAATATTTTGGTAGTTTCT